GCTGCTCTGTCGTGGATGTGCTGGAAACACTCCAGTCTGGCACCAGATCAGTCGTTTCCCTTCTTAGCTTGTGACGCAGAGAAGAAGCTTCCTCGTGTGATTATTACATCCCACTGACTTAGCACGGATGTTGGAGGCATGGAAGAGAGCAGAAACTTCCAGCAGTTGTTGAAATAAATGCAATAAGGTTTCACAAACAAACAAAAAAAGCATCTGCTAAATACATAAACAGGAACATAAACAAACCAGTGTTTTAGGATTTTTAAAAATAGTTTTTTTAATTGAAAATAAAACATAAAAACATGAAAATAAAAATTCTGTCCAATGGTAAAATAAAAGGAGGCAGAAAGAAGAAAAACTTTTATAAATCAATGCCCCTTCTTCTAAGATGAAGAGTAAACAAAAATGTTTAGCGAATAAAAAAGCTATGTAAATAATCAGAAATACAACACGCTATTTAATCACGGTTCACACTCAATACTACCAATACAATTACTATTTCCCTTTTAATATGTATAATAAAGCAAGTAATTGAATGTGTTTTCTAAATTGGCTTAATGATCCGGCAGCTTTAGTTTCCACATCTATGGCGTTTCCATAGTGATTCCATAAACGTATAATTCTAGATCCAAACTTAGGGTTCTAGAAGACTTCCGTTCCTTTCTGATCGTAATACTTCCTTTTCTTACAAACTCAATTAGAACACTGGTCAGTAATACCTTTGTACTGGCTTTGTACACAAGTTGTAATATCTTCCATTTCAGTAGCCGCCCACAGGCTCGGGGATTTCCACATTCCTGAGAAGTCCCTCTGATTTGGATGTGAACACTACCCCGCCCGTTCGAGACCAAACTCACGCCATCCAACCCGACCAAACCCCGACCGTACCGACGCTAACGTGTAAACGCCATTAGTGGCAAAAGGTGCAGAAACAAGACACTGTTTCTTATCACGTGAATCGGTCCTTGGTCGGTACCACAGAAGTCGTCCGGTGCCTAAAAAAGTACCAAATACGATACCCATCCCTACAAGAGGCATTCATTTATACCAAAGACCATAGCAGCTGAATTGAAAGTGAGTGAACTTAGTCTTCAAAGGTCAACCTGGCGACAGAATTCTGGACCTTACACGAAGGAACTTTCTTCATCCTTTTTGAACTTTTGTCACAACCACTCTTTTTTAGGAGATTTGATGACATCACACACACTCACTGCTGTACTCTCCTGGATGTTTATACATTTATTTTAGATTGGACTGTTTAGCTGAGTTTAAGTTCAGACTGTAGCTTCCCTCAAACCAGTAATTCTCTGGTTGATCCTTTTATTGTGAGAGTAACTTGCTCCAGCTCTTTAGAAGTCCCACTGGGAAAACTGTCATGGACAACTATGCAACTCTGTATTTTGTACAGATGGGTCACATAGAGAAGCTTTTGTTTGTTGTTTTTTGTTCACCAAAGACAGCCCATGTGGAGTCTGGTTGTTTTCAGCACAAACACTGTACATAGTGTGTGGAGTCTTGGGGAATCCTCCGGATTTCAACACCTCCAGGACAAACCACCAGGTAAACGAGCATAAAGTCTGCTCACACTCGGCCATTTTTGAGCCACTTCAGTGTGGACCCTGTGAAGTCCACCTAATGAAGGAGGAGAGGTTGGTGAAGACTGTTATTAACAGAGTCAGCAGTCAGAGCTGCAGCATCAACATTGGCTGGAACACACAGACATGATGCTTTCAGATTTAACGTGACCTGGACCATCTCTGTACCTGACACACACACACACACACACACACACACACACGTGTTCACGAATGAAGTTAAAACATGTGTCACCCTGCTTAGTCAGCATCAGACAAATCCAGTTAAAGGTGTTTGTACATTCGCTGCGCTGAAAGGCCTCCAGCAACAGCTGAGTGAGCAGCATTTGAGTTTTGTAAGTTTGAAGATTTGTAAACATTAATTATGTAAACATGAGGCAAAGAACAGGTGTGGAGAAAAGGATTACTGTAACCATCAAGGCGGAAGCTCAGAACGCCTCGCTGACGATCGCGGGTGGGCGGTTTTATTCTATTGTTGCCGGACTGACTGTCACACTCTGAAAACCCTCGGCAGATACTCGAATACGACGGCTGTCACTGCAGATAAAAACAAGTAAATCGAGCAGGAATTACATGCTCAAACACAAATTCCTGACCTGTCAACACATTCCGTAGCAGAAGACAGCCAACGCCGATGTACAGCGGCTTGTCTGAGAGTGCAGTGCCGGATCAATCTCGATTTCCTGTGACAAAGGATGAAAAACTGCAAGCGACAGTCCAAATGAAGCTTTGTGGAGACCTGCGTGAAATTCCAGATGATGTGTGGGGGCCGGGGCCGGGGCCATGGACAGCTGAGAAATCCTCCTCAGGGATAAATCCTTGAGACGGGAAATCCTCTCCAGCGCTTGGCTAGGGAAGAAAATTAACGTTTACGGGTGCTCCATTTAGCTCGACTTTAGTGGGTGAATGGTCCCATCATGTGCTAAATGTGATGGAAATCCATTTCAGGTCTCTTCTGAGCAGCTGAGGTCATATATTTAAATCCACTACATGTAGAGATGATGTCATAGATGTGTCAGTGAAGTTTTCTATAGCTGTACAGTAGGATGTCGGTTGTCCTCGATTAACAGCTTTGCCAGATAAGTAAATCCAACGTGGATCACGAGGAGGGGATCAGGCCAACCTCCAGAGGTGTGACCAAGTCACTGCTTTGCAAGTCACAAGTCTTTCCAGTCAAGGCTCGAGTCAAGTCCAAGTCAAAGACAACCAAGTCCAAGTCCAGTCCAAAGTCAGTGATGTGGAAGTCCAAATCAAGTCCAAGCCCTTAACTTTGAATTTTCAAGTCATAATCAAGTCATCTGTCCAACTTCAAGTTAATGATGAAGATAACAAATAAATTCCAGAATAAAAGCTTCATTTATTTGCTGAAACAAGCAGAAAGAGCAACTGAACCTGATCATGAACAACGAGCTGCTGCTTTCAGCAGAACAAGATCAAACCCAGAACGAAGGATGATTTATGATTTCTGTCCATGTCGTGTCACTTTTGTGTTAAAATATCAAATATGCTCAAGTCATCAACAAGTCAACAGATGCAAGTTGATTCAAGTCACCAGTCATTGGCATTCAAGTCTGAGTCAAGTCATAAGTCATTATAGATTTTATCAAGTCAAGTCAGAAATCATTAAAATAATGACTCGAGTCTGACTTGAGTCGAAGTCATGTGACTCGAGTCCGCACCTCTGCCAACCTCAGAAGTAGTCTTACATTGTGGTAGATTCATTTTGTGTTTTCTCCTTCTGTCTTCTTTCACTTTACTTCACCTCAGCCTCTCGTTAAAAGTCTCTAGTCGTTGTCTACGGCTCAGGAAGGCAGTAGTAGCCCTGTCAAGGCTGCTTCCTCTGAACAGGTAGCCTGTTATACATGGCTTGTATTTGTGTAGCGTGACACCCTACAACCCCCATAACCAGTCATTCATCCATTCACACACTGGTGGTGATGAGCTACAATGTCACCACAGCTGCACTGGGGCTGACTTATGGAGGCAAGGCTGCAGAGCGTTGGTGCCACTGGTCCCCCCGACCACCACCAGCAGGCAAGGTCCGTGTCTTGCCCAAGAACAAAACGGCTGCAACAGAGTCGGCGAGATTCAATCTCGCAACCCTTCAGTTATGAGATGGACACTCAGCTCCTCCGCCACTGCCGTCCCTGTTAGTTTGAGCACCGCTGTCGCCTGGCGACTGGAGGCTTGTTCAGCATTCAAGCATTAAAATATAGATTATTAATACTGAAGAAAATCCTGCCGTGCACATCCTCCCCGTGACCGCACTGAGAGTCGATGCCTTCGGCATACCGATAAATATTTAGGTGCAGCATTAGCTCGGGAGGTAGAGCAGAGAGCCTCGTGGTCGGAGGATCGCGGGACCAATTCCAGCTCCTCCCGGGGGTATTCTGCTGCTGTGTCCTGTTGTGGCTACATGGTAGCTTACCATCACAGGCAGTGTGTGAAAGTGAGTGTGTGAATAATAGAAAGTGCATTGAGTGCCTAGAAAAGTGCTATATAAATCAAACCCATTATTATTATTATTATTATTATTATTATTATTATTATTAATTAAAAACCTTCATCTACTAGTTCATCCCCCTCTTTTGTTTCCTGACACTTGTGCACAAATGTGCACTTTTTTCCGATAACAGTGAGCTGCAGCAGCCTCTTGTCCTCTCTTTGTGTTTGTGAAGCAGTCTGTGTCCTCAGAGAAGCCACTCAGACTCTCTTCAGCATGTAATTGTTAGCTTAAAAAACACACTGTAGCTAATCCTTTCCAACTGAAGAGTGCGGGGCACACGAAGCATCAAGTGAAAATATTCACAAGATACCGAGGGGTGGCCTATGGATTCTTTCTTGTTTCATTAGTCACCGTGGTTCCTTGCAGAGTGCTACTCAGCCTTATTGGTATGTCTCCAGGTTTTGTTGTTCCACCTGATCCTCGGGAATCATTGACATCTAAATGAGTTTGTCTCTGCATGGCTCCTTTAATCTGCATGACGTCGCAGAGAGAAGATTCAGATACGTCGGTGTTGTGGCCTGATTCTGATATTTGTTTTTACTGTTTGTCGCACTCAAATTACTGTTACCTTTACAGCCAAGAGTATGTCAGAGAGAGCAGCCTGTGTGTGTGTGTGTGTGTGTGTGTGTGTGTGTGTGTGTGTGTGTGTGTGTGTGTGTGTGTGTGTGTGTGTGTGTAAGAGGGCTGTGTGTACCTAATAAAGGTTAGTTTAATTTTAATGAAGCACACCTCTCTGTTGTTTAGGGTTGTACAGAAAGCACTCATGCATTGTCACTCTGTATTAAATCCTGTTCTAATAGACTCGATTTCTCTGTGTGTGTCCTCTCTCATCCTTGTCGTCACCATCTGTTTGTCCATATTGTGTGATCCTGTTTCTGGTCCCTGCGGCTCACCACCAGACGTTACTTTTGGCCTGGTTCTGGGTCTGTTTCTTGTTTGTGGCCTGGCTCTGCTGGGCCTCCTTACGCTAGTGTCCTGGAAGCTGTGCCGGGTGCCTCGGCAGACAAAGGCCCACTTCCCCAGTCCACCTCTCAGCCCGGCCGGTAACCCACGACGCGGCTCGCTCCAGCAGCCTCCCCCGCTGCCCAGTCCCCAACAACCGGCGGTCACCATGGCAACAGAAAAGGTGAAGGACCCCATAGGCTCGCAGGCTTTCCTGGAGGCAGCAGTGAAGATAAGCCATACCTCTCCCGACATCCCCACGGACGTGCAGCTCTCCATGAGGGAGCACTTCTTGCGCCGCACGCAGCGCATGCAGAGACAAACCACTGAGCCAGCCTCGTCCACACGGTTAGTCTCTGTCACACACACACACACACACACACACACACACACACACACACACACACACACACACACACACACACACACACACACACACACACACACACACACACACCTATGCACAAACCTGACAAAATAGATAGCAAAATGAGTTTTGTGGCGTATGAAGTTGCGTAAATCCAACAGAAATAGAAATGTACATCTGAAACTGACTCTCTACTTGGATCATTCACTCTGCCAATAATTTCATTTTACATTACTGAAACCTGTTTTCAAGCAAAACCTCAATAAATAAACACCTCCCCGTTCACGAGCAGCTGCGCATAGATAAAACAAGAAGAACACCATAAAAACGTCTTTTAGAAGCTACAACCTGAACAACTGGAAGGTTTTGGTGAGTAAGACTAAACATCTGTCGACGTCTTTCCTGCATGACTTGAAGTATTTTATGCAGCAAAAATCACCCCAAATCCTCCTTTACAGATTTACAACAAAGAGCAAATAAAGGGCTTTTTTAAAGCTTCTTAATGTTTTCCATATTAGGTAACTTAGAGGTAAAACATGTAAGACATTTTAGGGATTTAACTTAAAATATTTCATTTATTTAAAAATATTACATTTAAAAGATGTCAGTGACCCTGTTAAAGCACAGGAGCCTCATTTATCGAGCTTGCTTACGCACAAAACGGGGTCGGAAAACTTCGTAAGCAACTTTCCACGCAAACGTCGGGATTTATGAAAGAAAACTTAGAGAAAAATGTGCACAACTTTAAGTTGACTAAGGACCTGGCTTACACACATGCTGGACATGGAGAGCACCTGCAGTGCTGCTGCTGAGAAGGATAAAATTATGAAATCCTGCAGCATTATCACTTGTAACGCTTCATTTTCACACAGAACAAGACCCCCCCCCCCACACACACGCGGGTGTTCACACACACACACACACACACACACACACACACACACACACACACACACACACACACACACACACACACACACATGCGCGCGCACACAGCCGGGCCACTTTTTTATATCAGCCACAGATCTCTCTTAAGAACTCAGCATTGACGGCTTCAGCAACGCTGTACCACTCTGTGGATTTTCTCTTATTTGTTTTGCAAAAGCACTTCCTTTCATTTCTCCACCTCACCCACAGGTACCTCAACTTCTGCTTCTGTGAAATAGCGCTTCCTTGATCTGCCTTGATCTGCGGTCGCCATCGTCATTGGTGGAGCGCTGCAACAAGCCGGCTTATGTATATGCATGAGATCCACAAGGGACTTTGCATTGACCATTTATGGTAGAAAGTGGGCGTGGTGAGGGGGGGATGTGACTAAAAAGCAGCTGAGAACCTTTCTAGATAGTCTCTGATTTATGAAGCTGAGATTACGTGCAGCTGTGCGTCCTCCATGTTTGATAGATCACAAACCTACTTGGCGTAAGTACTTTTTTTTTGCTGAGCTTAAGCACGGTTTTAGTAAGGATTCTACGCCATGTTTTATAAATGAGATGCAGTAGCTTACCATTACTGGCAGTGTGTGAATATGAGAATGCATGAAAGCATCTTTGAGTGTCCTAAAAAGCGCTATATAAGTTTGATGTATTGTTATTATTAACATTATTTAACCAATCAGCTTTCAGGTTCATCTCACACTGATATCAGAAGTTCTCCTCTGGTCAGATTAAAGCCATCACCACCAAGTTTTGCTAGCTAAACACATCCTCACTAATACTTTTAATTTCTTTTTATTTTATTCCCACACTGAGATGGATTTGGTCTCAGCTGCAGCTGCAGTATAGAGGAAAGATGTGAAGTAGTCTCAGCTGCTTTTCTTTTGTATTCATAACGGTACGCACTCTCAACAGTATGCTAATAGATGAATGAACAGCAAAGTATGAACTCTATGTTATGCAACTCCCTCTCACTCACCCGCTCTCGTACCTGCCCTCCTTCTCTCAACGTGCCCCACACACACCCTGCTATTGTATAACGATGAATAAATGTAAAAAAAATCTGTAAAAAAACATATTTCCTCAGTGTTTATTGGCACACAGCACAGTTAGTGAGACCCAGCTCCATGTGGTCTGAACAAGAGTCCTGCAAAGTGTTTGTTGCTTGGATAATTGTCACATCATAGCGGTTGGTAAGTTGGTATGTCGGCTCAAGGACCAAATGCAAAACCTGCCACTGATTCGCAGCTAACAAGTAGAGGATTGCTTCTTAAAGAAATCCTCATATTAGGATATTTCTCCAGCCAGTGACGCTTTAGTTAGTTTAGTTTATTTCAAACAAGAAAACATACATAATTAAAAAAAAAATACCACAAACAGAAAAAGTACATATCATCCCTTCTTCTGTGTTTGAAAAGGAGTAGGCTGAAGTGGAAACTTATATGTCCCTACCCCTTTATACAAGTAATTTTTACTTGTTTACTAAATCTAACACAAAACCTACATTAAAACAAACAAAATGGTACAAGTCACCAAAAACCACCAAACTATATGGAAAAAAAAACAAAAAAAGAAAAGAAAACATCTTTTTACAATTGATACAATTTACTTTTCCTTAGAATAAAGGAGACCCACATAAATCATCTATTTTCCACTATATACTTGTTCAGAATATGTTTTTTATAATTCATTTTAAACACATTTATATTTGTACTTACTTTGATTTCTTCTTCTAAATTATTCCATAATTGAACCCCTATTATTGTGATACGCATCTGTTTTAATGTTGTTCTAAACTTATGTATCTTTAAGTTTAGTGTCCCTCTCAGGTTATATCCTCCTTCTCTCTCTGTGAACAGTTTCTGTATTTTATCAGGCATTCATGTATTTCTTACTTTATACATTATTTGTGCTGTTTTGTATTTAACCAAGTCCTGGAACTTCATTGTCCATGTTTTAATAAAAAGTTCATTTGTGTGATCCAAATATCCTGCATTTGTTATTAATCTGATAGCCTTTTTCTGCATTGTCGTTATTGTTTGTAAATGACTTTTGTACGTGTTTCCCCAGACCTCTACACAATAGCTCAAATATGGCAGTAGCATCGTATTGTACAACATATAAAGTGCTTTCTGATTAAATATATACTTAGCTTTCCCCAATATAGCAATGCCCCGTGCAAGCTTCCCCCTAACATATTTGATGTGTGGCTTCCAACAGATTCTGCTGTCTATGACCACCCCAAGAAATTTTATTTCATGTACTCTCTCAATTTTTACATTATTAATTACTATATCTAATTCATTGTATAATTCATTCATTGACGATAATAAAACAAAAAATCCGTTGTCTTTGTTCAACGTAAGTGAGTCTGGACTCCTTAATTACAAAATTGACACTGTTTTTTTGTCTTTGCAGGCACAACTCTTTCAAAAGGCACCTGCCCAGGCAGATGCAGGTGGGCAGCTTAGATCTGGGAAATGATTATGTAGCAGACAAGGATGAAAAGCCAACAAGCATCGGCCGCATCCAGCCAGAGCTCTACCAGCTGAAGGCCCCAGAATCAGAGGATTCCTCCAAGAACAGCAGCGGCAAAAACTGTGGCAGGATAAACTTTTCACTCAAGTATGACTACGAGAACGAAGCCCTGCTTGTCAATATCATCAGGGCCGTCGATCTGCCTGCCAAGGACTTATGTGGTACTTCTGACCCTTATGTGAAGATCTATCTGCTGCCCGATCGCAAGAAGTTCCAGACTCGAGTCCACCGGAAGACGCTCAACCCCACGTTCATTGAGAGCTTCCAGTTTTCCGTGCCTTACGAAGAGCTGGCAGTCAGGAAGCTCCACATGAGTGTCTTTGACTTTGACAGGTTTTCTCGGCATGACATGATCGGAGAGGTGGTGTTGGAGAATTTGTTTGAGACGTCGGACCTGTCGCGAGAGACAAACATCTGGAGAGACATCGAGTATGCCACCAGTGTAAGAATCAGTCTGATTTTACTTTTTCCCCTAACAGATTCATTCTCTGATCACTAGCTGAAAAATAACACCTTAGTTCTATTATCTGAAATTCTATGAAGCCTTAAGCCCTAGGGTCCCCCAGGTGGGGGGCCCTGTGACGTTAGTTCCTTAACAGGCCCAAAACAACCCTCACACTACAGAAGAAATAGTTATAATTCCCATCAAATCAACCAGCAAACCCAGCGCTACAAGGCCATCTAAACTGTTTAGCGCCAAATTACGACAAGAGTCATCTCAAGGCACTTTACATAGTAAACATTCCAATACATGTCAGTTCATTAAGCCAATCAGAAAAAAATTTCCTATATAAGGAACCCAGCAAATTGCATCAAATCACTGACTGGTGTCAGTTCCTAAATGAGAATTAAACCAGGGAGCCAACTTCCTGTGCTTAATTGTCTTCTTTTTTAAAGGGGCAACATCATCTAATGCCATACATAAAGAAGAAGTAACATTATGAACTAAATTATCAATTTGTGAGGGGCTAGAAATGAAAACATTACCCTCTGCTACGTTCCTCTGAGATGCTGAGGACAGTAAAGATGGAACAGTTGATTTAAAAGATGCAACTGCGTTGTCAGATACAGACCGACTGTAGTGAAATTTACTTTCATGTCTCGAGAACTCAGTTATAAAAAACTCAAAGGTTATCAGAAAGTGGTCCGAGAGGACTGGATTATGTGGAAAGATCGTTATTTCCTCACACTCAATGCCATAAGTCAGAACAAGGTCCAATGTATGATGGCAGGAGTGGGTGGAGCTATGTATTCTTTGAGTAAAACCAATTGAGTCTAGGATATTACTAAAGGCTACATTGAGGCTATCATTTTCAATGTCCACATGAATGTTAAAATCCCCCACTATAATGACCTAATCAGTATTTAGCACCAAATCAGATAAAAAATCAGAGATCTGGTCCAAAAACTCAGAGTAAGGGCCTGGTGGACGATATAAAACTACAAACAAGAGTGGTTTTACAGTTTTGCAATCTGGATTAGGAAAACTAAGAATAAGATGTTCAAACGAACTGTAGCTATTAATCTGTAAGGGACTGATTAATAAGGCCGAATGAAAAATGGTTGCTACTCCTCCTCCTCGCCCTGTACTTCGAGCAATATGATGATTTAAATAATTAGAAGGAGTCGACTCGTTTAAGCTAACATAGTCCTCTTGCTGCAGCCAGGATTCTGTGAAAGAGAGCAAAGAAATCTGATGATCACAAATCAAGTCATTAACTTACAAAGTCTTAGAAAAAATGGATCTAATGTTCAACAACCCACATTTAATTTTTCTAGTTTTCTACTCAGTTGAATTTGTTCTAATATTTATGAGATTTCCATTATTTGCTTTATTAAGACTGATATTTAATCTGTGTGGTTTTGGCCGTGGGCAGGACACTGTCTCTATGGGGCAGTGGGTGGGTAACAGTACAGAAGCTGCAGAGGGGTGGGTTAAACTACGACTCTGCTTCCTGGTCTGGACCCTGGGTTGTCATGGAGGACTAATAAAACTGGCCATGTTCCTAGAAAGAAGAGCTGCACCATCCAAAGAGGGATGGATGCCGTCTCTTCGCATCAGACCAGGTTTTCCCCAAAAAGTTTTCCAATTATCAATGCAGCCCACGTTGTTTTCAGGACACCACCTAGACAACCAGCGGTTGAAGGACAGCATGCGGCTAAACATGTCGTCACTGGTCCGATCAGGCAGGGGGCCAGAGAAAATTACGGAGTCCGACATTGTTTTGGCAAACTTACACACCGAAGCAACATTAATTTTAGTAACCTCCGATTGGCGTAACCGGGTGTCGTTACCGCCAGCGTGAATAACAATCTTACTGTATTTACGCTTATCCTTAGCCAGCAGTTTCAGATAAGATTTAATGTCGCCCGCTCTGGCCCCAGGTAAACATTTAACTATGGTTGCTGGAGCCTCTAATGCCACGTTTCTGACTATGGAGCTGCCAGTGATCAGAGTCGGCTTGTCAGTCGGTGCGTCACTGAGCGGGGAAAATCTATTAGAAACGTGGACGGGTTGGTGGTGGCCCACGGGCTGGGTCCTATGCTTCCTGCGTACCGTCACCCAGCCGGCCTGAGGTCCCGGCTGCTCGGGTTCTGCTGGAGGACCGCTACGGGGCGGCTCTGAGCTAGTTAGCCCCGCGCTAGCTAAGTAGCTACGGCTGTTTACGGGCTTTTCAACAGCGCGGAGCCGGGCCTCCAATTCCGACACCCTCGCCTCCAAAGCTACAAAAATGCTACATTTATTACAGGTATCATTATCACAAAAGGAGGCAGAGGAGTAACTAAACATCTGACACAGAGAGCAAGAGATAGGAGACGGAGAAGCAGAGACAGAATGAGCCATAGTCGTGCTGAGGCTAAGCTAACTGGACGAGCAAACTGTTCAACACCAAATAAACTGCGTGCGAACTCAAATGGTTCCCTAAAAGCTAGATGGAACAACAGAAAATGTGTGTTTTAGCGTGCTTATGTGCTACAATAACTCAGAGATATCCTAGTACAGAGAAATTAAATCAGTTTTAGCGAGCCCCTAACACCAAACAGCTACACGTAGTGCAACACTGAAAACAGGAAACAGGAAACGCCGTACCGCCAGGGAGGAGCAAAATCAGGGAGGAGCATTGGTTCTTTTTTTGGGAGAAAACCGAGAACATCCCAAACACCAGAATGCAGAGAAGCCAATCAAACCCCAAGTCCTATTTTAAAATGAGAATAAGTAATGACTTCATCAGTCTGTTACTCCGATGTCATTCACTCACCCAGACTGTGATTACTTTTTCACTAATGACACTAACATTTCATTCATCCATGTTGGATGGATGGAGGATGGATGGATATGTTTCCCAGTATGATAATCCTCATGGGAACTTTAAATCAAAGGAAACAACCTGCCACTTTTGATGAATTTTAAACCTTTCTCCCTCCTTCATTCTTCCGGTCCTGTAGGGTTGGAGTCTGGTCCTCACATTTTGAGAACAGAAATCCTTGCTTGCTGGTGGTCAGAGGGACCCGTGGCAGAGCTGTCAGAGTTAAAATCCGTCTGCTGAGATTTCTCCCTCCCCGGTCACCACATTGATGGGATTGTTTTTCTGTGTGTAAGCACCTTAAAGTATATATCCATGGTACAGCTAGAAATGATTAATGCTGTGCAGATGTTGCTAACGGCCTCCAGAACCGCCCGCAATTCAACACAGACAATCAAAGTGTCGCGTTCGGCTTTTACAACACTCGACATTTTTGCTGTGCTCTCACATTATGGCTGAGCATTCCCACCCTTCAAACTAAATCCCACACTTTAACAGCGGAAGTCCTTACTGCAGCTATGCTTGTGAGTGTGTGTCTGTGTGTAAGATGTTAAAGCTGCAGTGTTCAGAAGGGCAGCTCAGGATTTGCAAATTGTGGAGCTCGTACCAAGCTCATTTAGGGTGACCAGGGCTCTGTGAGACCTTTAATAGTGTTGATGGGACTAAGAGGCCCTGAGCAGCAGATAACAGGACACTCATTCCACTTGAGACTATTAGCTCAGCGGGAATTCACACAGGACTTCCTACTAAGTAGTGACTGTTAATATGTTGGGAAGTTTAAAAAGTTGACGATGGACTAAAAACCCACAGCCTAAATCAAACTTATTTTTAATGGATGTTGTTAGTGCACATCACATCCCTCTTATACCTCCTGGTATTACAGCTTTACTTTCTTTGAAACAGGATGACTGCTCTGAGCAAGGTTCTGCTGGAGGTTTCCTCTTCTTATTGGAGACTTTTCCTCTCCATTGTTGCTACATGATTGTTTAATATGGAGAACGTTGTAAAGTTACAAGAAGTGAGTGACTTCATGCAATTTACCGCAAGGGAAAACTTTAAATTTGGCACTAAACGCTCAGCTTTAAAGGGGTTGGATTTGGTGGTTACACCACCAAGTAGTTCCCAAGCACAGTCGTTCCCCACAGGGATGGGTCAAATGGGGGGGGGGGGGGGACAAACTTCACCACACACCGGTGTGTGACAACTGAACTCATTGCACTCATAAGTAGGTTGAATTGGAATGTTTGCTTTGTAAAGTACTTTGAGATGACTAATTGTGAATTGTCGCTGAGTGAATAATTCAAATGAATTGAATAGACTAGTTTGACCGACAGCTGCTCCAGTTGAATAAAAACACTGTATGATGAAGCTTGTTTGATGGAATCATTTGGTTCAGTGTTGCTCTACCGCAGCGGTTCCCAATCGTTTCAGCTTCAGACCAACACAGAAATGCTTAAAAAGCTAAATAATTGAAGGCGTTAAGAAAATAGCTTCAGCTCATTTTTAGCTATTTACATTTATGGTAATTGAGTTGAGTTTTTGTACCAATTTTGCTGAAAACATAACTTTAGCTGTTGTTTTGAATGTTATTTGACACCCTGTGAAACACTTGGTGACCCACTGTGGGGTCCTGAGCCCCAGCTTTAAGAACCACTGCTCTGCTGCATTAACAGTTTGGCACTTTTTTAGCTTCTAGTTCAAATTTTGCTTTAACTGCTCGTTGTCAGTTTTACAGAAAATTCAGTGAGTGCAAAGCTACAGGAATGCTGCCCTTGTTACTACACCTGCTTTTCCTCCTAAATGTATTTTATTTGGTTGCCAACCCCTTCCAAATTTATCCACATTACACCCACTGACTCTGACTCACTGAATATTATATATATATGAACAGAAATATATGTATATATATATATATATATATATATATATATATATATATATATATATATACACACACACACAGACATTGAGGTTCTACAATCCGCTGGACCCTCCTCTCCAGAACCCCTGAATAGTCATTTACTAGGGAGGCTCAGCAGTGTGATCCCCCTGTAGGTGGAAAACATCCTGTGGTCCCTGTTTTAAATAGGGGCACCACCACCCTGGTCTGCCATTCCAGTGAAACTGCCCCGATGTCCACGCGACAACCCTGCGACTGCAGCTCCCGTCAAGCGCTCCTTTAAAAAGCAGCTGAAGACTCACTTGTTCAAGCTGGCTTTTGTATGACCTTCTTCACCTCTCTCTCTTTATTCTGCTCTCCCCACCTATTCCACCTTCCTCAGGATCCACTGATTTCCCTCTTTCTTATTCACTCTCTCTCTTTCTTAACATTTTTAATCACAATTGTCTATTTTTTGCTCATTTTAAATATATTTTTAAACATTTTCTAAATTATTTTTTATATTTTTACATTTTTTGTTTTTGTGAAGCGCCTCGTGATTTTTATCTTGAGAGGCGCTATAGAAATGATCTTTTCTTCTTCTTCTTCTTCTTCTTCTTCTTCTTCTTCTTCTTCTTCTTCTTCTTCTTCTTCTTCTTCTTCTTCTTCTTCTTCTTCTTCTTCTTCTTCTTCTTCTTCTTCTTCTTCTTCTTCTTCTTCTTCTTCTTCTTCTTCTTCTTCTTCTTCTTCTTCTTCTTCTTCTTCTTCTTCTTCTTCTTCTTCTCAACAATAGAAGCACGGAACAGGGCCCACTCTTACTCAGTGTCCCCTGCCTCCCCAGGAACATTTTGGAAGTTCTGTCAAAGGTGGGAACTGAAGCTCCTTCTGACAGGAGACTCTGCCAGATGTTCCCAGCAGACCCTCACAATACGTTTGAGCTTGCCAGTTCTGACCACCATCCTCTCCCACCATCGGAGCCAACTCACCCCCAGGTAGTGGTCAGTTGACAACTCCGTCCCTTTCTTCACCCAAGTCTCCAAGACATGCAGCCGCAGATCAGACGAAATGACAACAAAGTCGATCATTAGGCTTCGGCCTAAAATATCCTGGTAGCAGGAGTACATGGACACCTTTATGTCTGAACATGGAGTTCATTAAGAACATTCTATGACTGGTACAGAAGTCCAATAACAAAACACCACTCTAATTCAGATCAGAGAGGGTGTTCCTCCCCACCACACCTCTCCAGGTCTCACTGTTGTTGCCCACATGAGCGTTAAAGTCCCCCAGCAGAATGAGGGGGTCACTAGAAGGAGTGCTCTTCAGCAACTCCTCCAAGGACTCCAAAAAGGGTGGGTAGTCTTAACTGCAGTTTGGTGCATAAGCACAGACCACAGTCGGGACCCGCCCCCACACATAGACGGAGGGAGGCTACCCTTACTTTCACCGGGGTAAATCCCAACGTACAGCGTCCAAGATGGGGAGCAACTAGTATGCTTACCCCTGCTCAGCGACTCTCAGTGGGAACAACCCAAGAGTGGTAGAGTGTCCAGCCCCTCTCAAGAAAACTGGTTCAGGAGCCAGAGCCATGCATTGAGGTGAGTCTGATTAAATCCAGTGGGAATCCGCCTGCGTCTTCCACCCAATACAGGTCATAAATATATATATATATATATCACACCTGCACATCAGTTTTGTGCACCCTTGTCTAACAATGTGGGCCCCTTTAGGATCTCTGCTTATTAAAACACTTTCTTTCAGTCTTTACTCTTACTTTAGTAGCGTTACCATTGACTTAAGTTGCAACATCCTTTGCCACCACAGGGGCGCTACAACCCCAGCACTTCCATATTTCTGACACTGATGACTCTACTTATTTTTCAAATTCACCTGATCATGAAGCAATTATTCAACAATAACTGAGTTTGACCAGGAGTTAATCATCACAAAATGTTCAACAATCACTTTATTTGTTTATCAATTCCTCGTTTGCTCCTTAAACACTAATTAGGCAGAATGTGGATGCCAATGAAAGATGCAAATTCAGTCATTCTGTGACATGCCTCCTTTTACAGACAACTTAGGTGGACAAAGCAATAAAAATCACCAGCATGATGTTTTGTTTTTACTCGTTCGGTTTACAACACTGGAGGTGTAGAGGGAGACACTTTTCCTCACTTCACCGAACAACTCGGTGGTTAAAATGAGCTGATGAAAAATGAAATACAGTCATTGATCTCAGAGTTAGACCTGCAGGAAGAGACTCGGTGGATCACAGATTCAGAATATGACAGCATGTTCTTTTTTTTCCTTTGCTTGTGCTCCATCAGGAAAGTGTCGACCTTGGGGAGATCATGTTCTCACTCTGCTACCTTCCCACCGCAGGCAGACTCACACTCACAGTCATCAAGTGCAGGAACCTCAAGGCCATGGACATCACTGGGTACTCAGGTGGGTTGGGTTTGGTCTTGTGAATGGCCTGGTGGGAGGGATGTGAGATGAAATGAACAAAGTGAAACGAAGACCCTCCTTGGGGCTGGCTTCTATTTGCTTGGGCACATGGACGTAATTTTCACTTTAGAAGTGGGGGGGACACGTGGAGGGGGGGGGGGGTATCTTTATAGTATGCTCTAATGCAGGGATTCCCAAAGTGTGGTGCGCGCACCCCTGGGGGTGCGCGAACTGCCGCTAGGGGGTGCGCGAGCTGCCGCTAGGGGATGCGCGAGGTGAAAAGTGTAATGGCTGCCGAGCTCAGAGAAGTCTGTCATATGTCACCATTAGCGTAGCCAGAAACTCATTTGTGGGTGGGCCTAAGAAAAAGTAAGTGGGCCCAATAAATGCAATTGAAAACAAGTATATTTTTGCGCGTGTGTGTGTGTCCTCCACATGTTCCCTAGCTTCATAATAACAATGCGCCGAGCTTCAGCGCTCTGGCCTGCGCACGCCGATATGTTCCGTATTTGATCATTTTTAACAGTGTTGGAGAAATCTGAAGGTGGCGAGTCATTCTGGCAGATTGTAATTAACACCTGTCTCATGCAGGTGTTCTGACGTTGTAAACCTCACACACAGAACATTGTGGATGTAACAAAATAAATCAAGAAATTATTCTTTTAACAGCGCACTGAAGATCTGAAGTTCAGAGGGCGTCTGTCAGTCAGACGTGTTCCAGCGGAACCACGGCTCACGGGTACACAAGTGAGCACATCTGGGCTGGGCAGAAGTAATTTTACAACAATGGTTTAAATAGCGCCAAATAACGAGACGCGGTCACTGGAGCGGCTCACGAAGCTGTGCCGCGCGCGCGCACACACACACACACACACACGATCTCCGGCGCTGTGCCGTCAGACTGAATGCAGAGATGAGCGCTGCCTCCTCTGTGATAAAAACTTTTAAGAGGTTTTATAACAACATTTTTAATTCCAGGTCAAATTAAGATATTAGCTTCTATTTTGGGATGACATATTATCGGGTCTGCTCCAGCCAGTGACTCCGAACCTGCAGCATTTGTTGTTCCAGTCCGCGTGGCAGCTGATCGCAGATTCAGCCACACCATAAAACAGCAATAAGTCGGTCTGAGGCAAAAGTGAACCTCATGGTTAGCTTTCCATATTTTCCCCTATAGACATTTGATTACGCACAAGTAGGTGACCAGTTCAGGTTTACGCAGAGCAGAAGGAAGGAGAGCGCTCTGGCCGCACAGGTTAAACGTTCTGCTTTAAGAAAACCATTAAATTGCATTTTTGATGTGCTACCTGGGCACTCTAAATATTTCTTTAAAATGAAATCAAAGGAAATTGTAATGGTATCGAATGTTTATTAATTACTATTTAAAAAATGAAAGTGATGGGGAAAAGGTTGATCATATTTTTTAACCCTGTCTGTTTAGCTTGACGTCTGATATATATATATATATATATATATATATATATATATATATATATATATATATATCCATGCCCTGATGTGGGGGCTCGGGGGTGCGTCGACATGGTCGGGACATAGAAGGGGGTGCGCGGCTAAATAAGTTTGGGAACCACTGCTCTAATGGGTAACAGGCTTCAACACAAACGGTTGTTTTCTGCTTGGTCCTAGAGCTCAACCAATGTCAATTTAATATAGCGTAATATTGTTTTTGGATGGTAAAAAGTGCAGGGGTCAAAACTTGACTTTGGAAAAAGTGGGGGGGACATGTCCCCCCTATCCCCCCCCAAAATTACGTCCATGCTTGGGCGGTTGTTCTGTCCTGTTCTTGTATTATTAAAATCTTGTCTAAATTACTTGTGGAAGATATGTGATTTTAATAGTCTGCCATTCCACTTTTCTATTAAACTTTCACTAAAATTGGTTTATGACTTGTAAAATGAAACATTCATTGTGAGTTAAGTGTCAGGGTTCAGGTGTATTTCAGTTTATTTCCCCCTTTTCACATTTAATGGTATTTCACATTGTTGGTGTGACTCACAAGTTTAGTTCCCCTTCGTTTTTTCACGGCTTTAGCTGTCTGACAGCATTTCAGTGTGTAGATTAGAAAATCAATTCTATTGTGTTGTGCCTTCAAGCATATTGGGCTGTTTATAGATTTAGAGCAGCTTATTAAAACTTGAGAGAATGGATTATATTTGATGTGTGATTTATCTGATAAAAAAAGGACTAAAATTCAGGAAGCTCTCTGCTCTCTTTGTTCACTTTGATGCATGCTACTGATGCCAGGTTCTCAAGGGACGCTTAAATAGAAACACACACACTGGGTCATAAAACGGGGAATACGTGACTCTTTGCTCAAGGCAAACACTGGAATTGCCTTTTTTTTGTAATAATGGTTTTGTTGCTGCTCTGCCAGTTTCTCTTGGAGCGGTTGTTCAAACACAATCATTTTTACTTCGTGTAACGTTCCATATTCTCTGGTCTTATTTTGTCCTCTCACTATTAGATCCCTACGTCAAAGTATCACTGATTTGTGATGGAAGACGTTTGAAAAAAAAGAAGACCAGCATTAAGAAGAACACCCTGAATCCCACCTACAACGAGGCCATCATCTTCGACATCCCTCCAGACAGCATGGACCATGTCAGCCTGCACATCTCTGTCATGGATTATGATTTGTATGTATATGTATTAAGTTAACACGTTTTCAAGTTTCTTGAATAAAATGTTAGTATATGCCTCCAGGTACTTCATGAGATGTTTCAGCCATTTTGAGGTCTGATTTTTGTAAAGGTATGAATAATTCCTGTTTTACTGTCAGCTCATTGATCCATTTTCCCATTTCTTTGACCGGGGGCATTCCAGTAGCTATCCACATAAGGTTAGATCGGGTTGTGCAGAATGACCAAAATCCAACAACCTAGTCCTAGTGGTAGAGTGTCCGCCCTGAGACTGGGAGGTCAGGGTTCGATTCCTGGTCGGGTCATACCAAAGACTTTGAAAAAATGGGACCCAATGCCTCGCTGCTTGATACTCAGCATTAAGAGGTTGGATTGGGGGTTAAACCACCAAATAGTTCCCGAGAGCGGCTGTGTCTGCAGCTCACCGCTGCCCCAGGGGATGGGTCAAATGCGGAGAACAAATTTCGCACAAACATCAGTGTGTGTGACAACTGATGGGACTTTAACTTTGGGGCGACGGTGGCACAGGAGTTAAGTGCTTGCCCCGTAATCGGAAGGTTGCAGGTTCGAGCTCAGTTTGTTGCTTTCGTTGTGTTCTTGGGCAAGATGCTTAGCCCCCCTTGCCTGCTGGTGGTGGTCGGAGGGACCGCCGGCGCCAGTGCTCGGCAGCCTCGCCTCTGTCAGTGCACCCTAGGGCAGCTGTGGCTACATCGTAGCTCATCCCCACCAGTGTGTGAATGTGTGGATGACTGATTGTGTTATAAAGTGCCTTGGGGGGTCCCAGCACTCTAGAAGGCGCTATATCAATTACAGGCCATTTACCATTTTTACCATAATTTTGCTTGTCCACCATCAATGTGGTTATTAAATTTATATTTCTCTCCTGACGCTAACTCCACACAGCCAAGGCTGGAATTCGAACGTTCGACCTTCTCGCTGCAAAGTGCTATCAACTGTGCCACCACGCAGATGTAATCAATCAATCAAAGCTTTATTTATAAAGCGCCTTTATTCATAAAGCGCCTGTCGGGAAGCCCAAGGTGCTGAACACGGAACAACATGGTACATTGTACAAAGCTACAATCTGGATATTTTTTAATCCAACAGCGCCATCTAGAGGGCCGCTTTAGTCGCTCTCAACACCTCTGAATTTATGTCAGAAAGCAGTGCCTCTCATGCGTGAATGCACATCGCTAGTCGGCCAACAGAGATAAAACACATTTTCACAATTATTATTCTCATGTTAACCTGTTTGTTCAATTATATTTACTTTTAAGACTTACAGTACTTGTCTACAAGAAATATTGCCAACTCTGGATCTGCTTAGGTACATCCTTTAACGCTTAAATGCTTCCACAGCCTGCTGTAGCTAGCGCTAACAACAAACCAATGCTGACACGAGCCAGCTGATGCTAAAATAAGCTACAAAGTAAAGAAATTAACACTGTTTGACAAAAATCATTATTTTAACCAGGTCACCAAAAGTACATGATTTAATAACCTCCTTTAGGTCCCTCAAACTAGTGTAGACCGGTTTTAGGTCTGGTTTTAGCTCCTTGTTTTACATCCAAAGACACTCTCTTCCTTTTACTTCCAGGCTCCGCCATGATGTAAACTAAATAGAAAAATGTATTTTCTTTTTCCAATTCTTATTGACAGCAAACTGAAAAAGCTAACTGCTAGCCTTTATATTAGCAACCGTAGCCGTACACCGTCATTGCCATGAAGCAGGTAGAGAGCTCCCACTAGCGTTCCTACCTGAACCACAAAACTGTGCAGTTTCTGGGCAGCAGCGCTGTCCAGTGTATAGAGTTGTTGCAAAACCAATTTAGAGTTTCAATAATTAGTTCAAAAGGTTTTGGAGTCAATAAAATGATAAGCGTGCCCTCCTTAATGCTTAGTTAGTTTTACTTCTCAAATATCACCGAGTGTTTCTCCTACAGGAATTTAACTGAAATGTTTTATTGTAACGACCAACAATTTAAACAGGGAAATCATGAAGATTAACAAGAGCCAAACTTTCTCATCCCACTATAAATGAGAAACTACTCATTTACTTCTTAGGTGTGTTCTTGCTGTGTCTTTCTAAATCCATGCTTTCGTTCTTTTTTAAACACAGAAACAGTTTTGTTTACCTGTTTGTAGCTACAGTTTCGCCGACGGCTGCCGGCTTCTTCAGGCTGACGCTGATGGTGGCGCGTCACTTCCTTCTCCGTTTATCTGCGGGCAGCAGAGGACGTTGTCGCCCTCTACTGCCCGCTCTCCCCTCTCCGACGATGCAGTCCCATGCGTGGTCCAGCGTGTAAACTCCGTTGTCCCTGTTCATGGTCCCACATCCACGTCTCCTTATCTCGATTGCTTCCTTGATCCATCTTTTGTATTTTTGTTGTTCGGTGGTTATGATCCGTGTGTTGTCCCAGTCCATTATATGGTTTTCTCTTAAGCAATGATCTGTTACGGCTGACTTTTTTATTGTACTTTCTGAAGGTCTTGGCAGGGACCACTGGAATGAAATGCTGGCTTATCTACGAAATCCCATGCAAAATATGCAATAAAACATACATAGGAGAAACCGGACGCCAACTCAACACACGGACAATAGAACACAGAAAGGAGTGCGAGAAAGAGGCAAATCGTAAACACACAAGAGCAGCAAAAGAAGAAGCAGAAAGTACAATAAAAAAGTCAGCCGTAACAGATCATTGCTTAAGAGAAAACCATATAATGGACTGGGACAACACACGGATCATAACCACCGAACAACAAAAATACAAAAGATGGATCAAGGAAGCAATCGAGATAAGGAGACGTGGATGTGGGACCATGAACAGGGACGACGGAGTTTACACGCTTGACCACGCATGGGACTGCATCGTCGGAGAGGGGAGAGCGGGCAGTAGAGGGCGACAACGTCCTCTGCTGCCCGCAGATAAACGGAGAAGGAAGTGACGCGCCACCATCAGCGTCAGCCTGAAGAAGCCGGCAGCCGTCGGCGAAACTGTAGCTACAAACAGGTAAACAAAACTGTTTCTGTGTTTAAAAAAGAACGAAAGCATGGATACTCATTTACTTCATTCATTTAGAAAAAATAAATAAATAAACTTGTATTTTGGGGCTTTTTGTTTGCACATAATTGAAATGCAACAGTAGACAACAGACAAAAAAATTAATTCACAAATAAAGTATAAACTGTATGCAATAGGAACAAATGTACTGCTGTGTAAGTAAAGGTAAGTAGAAGGTCATAGAGAGAAATAATCATATTAATAGCCACTTGATGAATTTGGTCCAAATAAATGCATTTGGGTTTCTTTAGATGTTTTTTTTTTTTTTGCAAAAACATTGCATCAGCGCTGAGGTTATTGAAAGTAAAAGCAGTATAATATTGTGCTCTTTGTTTACCGTAAGTGAATTTGTTGACTGAAAGTGAAAACACGGTTCCAGTGCAGACAGCTGCCAGAATGAGGGCGTTCATGTTAAAGGTCAGACTCTGTTCTTTCTTCCCTTCTTGTTCTGTTCCATAAAAGAGGGGTAAAAAATGTGTTTTCTTTACAAAGCAATCAAGTTGTATGCACACTTTAGGGTCTCAGTGAAGATTAAAACCTGCCTTCAGTCACTCTTCTCCTCTCCGTTAGCAGAGTAAAGATCAGCTCTGATGTCCAGAGATGTTAGTTCACGTGTCACAGAGGGAAGGAGCTGCATGTTCACCACAAGAATCAGCAGGACGACCACACTCAGACTTGTGTCTCCTTAGATTGCAAAAAGATGAGTGAGGTGTTGAATCAGAATCTGTGTGTGTGTGCGTGTGTGTGTGTGTGTGTGTGTGTGTGTGCGCGTGTGCGTGTGTGTGTGTGCGCGTGTGTGTGTATTCTTCTGTTTCCACAGGGTGGGTCATAATGAGATCATCGGTGTGATGAGGCTTGGATCCCATGCTGAAGGTCTTGGCAGGGACCACTGGAATGAAATGCTGGCTTATCCACGAAAGCCAATCGCACACTGGCACCCCCTGCTGGAGCCCAAGAAATCTGAGAAAGAAGTACGTTTTGAGTAAAAGGCAGAGGCGGGTTTGTTTGTTTTGGTCTCTGACATTTTTTGTTTAGGTGTCTATAATAAAATTTAATGTAGATAAATGACATTTGTAATTCCGATTGAGTGTAAGATTATAGATATCTGCTCTGGAGATTTAATGATAAGTTGGCTTGCCTTATTTGGGCTCTACATATCTGTTATTGCAGCAATAGGTTGCTTATTGTCAGGGACTTGCACAAACCAGCCAGAGAAGCACTGCTCATGAGACTCACAACTACATTTTCTTTTGGAGCGGCTTCAAAGTTAACAGGAACTTTAACCTAATCACAGCACAAGACACTCTATCCAGAAAACAAAAGACATTTCAGACACACCAGGTTCAACTTAAATAGTGGCTGATCAGACCACTCTACATACAAGAGGGGAACAATTAACATACAATTAACACACACATCCTCACACACACACAAACTAACCACTCTAATCAATTCAGGTAACTCAAATAACTAAATCATAATTACAAACTTCCTATCCATAACAGAAAATATCTACATTAAATTAAACACAAGCATAAACATGAATCCCCCCTCCCTTGGGAGTTGGTAGATCCCAGGAGTGCCGATTAGGATTCCTGAGGAGATGAGCTGCAGGTGTGAGACTCCATGGGAAACTCCAAGTCACTGGTAACTCAAATAAAAGTACAAAATTAACACATACATTCGTAAACAGATGACTGATTGTGTGCACATCAACCAGTCATCCTGGACAGAACACAGAAAACACTACCATTAGACCATGTCCCTGAGGTGACAGACACTGCTGTCACACTTATCCAAACTGACATTAGTGATGCTAACATAAATGTAAGCAGCACCTTCTAGCTCCAGTAGTGTGAGCTGTTGGCTGAAGTTTAAAGAGTTTTTATCTTAGCTGGTTAGGACAAATAATTTCCTTTTTTATGTCGATTTCTGCATCCACAAATGTCATAATGTGTTGACATCCACTAGTCAATTCTGGGTTTTTTCCAAGCCATCACCTACCACAGTAAGCAAAACTCAATAAGTATTTAATATAAGGTTAGTAGAACACAGAACACGACAATGGGAGAGGAGAACAGAAGATCTCGCTAAAGGCATGGCAAACAAACGTCTATGACAGGGGTCGGCAACCTGTTCCCATCACAGAGCCATTATCACCCATTTCCCACAGTACAGAAAACACTGGGAGCCACAGGAGCCATGGCGGTGTGGGCGGGGCCTACCCTCAGACAGCAGAGAGCTGCTTTAACCAGTCACAACAGGTGACAGCAGCCGGTACCGGTCGCTCGTGTACGTCAAAGTTATCTTTCATAAGACGATAATCAATAAAACGATTTATATAAAATGGATCCAGAAGTTGTAGCCCGTCTGTCTACAATATTTTGATATTTTTCACCCTGTTGGTGGTTTTACTGAGCAGGTGCCACTTTTGTCATACGTTTCTTTTTAAAACATGTTTAGACTGTTCAGAATACAAATCCAGGCTCTGTCACGTTTGATTGTTGTAATTAAACTTTGTAGGTGGGGAAGGTCGGAAAAGGATCCGATCATTTTGTTTTTCCCTCATTTACAGCGACGGAGATAACGGCGCAGTGCGCCTGGCTCTGGTGTTAATCAAGTTTAATTTTATCTATTTGCAACAATTTTCACAAGAAAACAGAACAGTTAAAAGCAGGGCTTGTGTTGACCGGACAGTTCCCGTATTTGACCGTTTATTTTGACAGAGAAAGAATAGAAAGAATTACCCCGACGCATGCAGACAAACTGACATTTTATTCTACGCACATCGCAGATGTAGCTAAATCACTCAAGAAAAGATTCCCATCTGAACATCTGAGCTGGACACTGCTCAGCGCAGCTCGCTGTCAGCATGTACGTACGGTCCACAGTGGGCTGATGATGTGGAGAGTGGCTTGGAGCGCGCCGCAGAACCAGAGCGCATGCAGGAAGATTCCTCCGACTGAAGCGAGACTTGTCACTTAGAAAATGTTCCCTGATTATGAAACTTTGGCTGAATAGCGCTTGTTCCTGTCTCCAATGTGGCGACACATCCAGGAGCCATCTGAGGAGAATCCCAGAATCTCACATCTTCTTCAGCTCAGAAAGCGCCGATGATTACGCACAAGCGTGATGCATCAACCCGGTCTCACAGTAAGACCAGGTTGGAACTGTTCAGGTTTACCAGACAATCTTTACATATAGAATTGGCATACAGATGTAAAATTAATTAAGTAAAATATAAAGCATTTTATTTAAATATCCATTCATTATTTTACAAGCACAGAGAGCCACATCAGATGGATGGAAGAGCCGCATGCGGCTCCAGAGCTGCGGGTTGCCGACCCCCGGTCGATGACAATGAGAGTGAGGTGAAGGGGCGAGGAACAGGTGTGCTGAACACTGATTAGACACAGGAGTGCATGGCTACCACAGGAATTGAGAGAAAAACCAAAACAGGGACTAAAGCAGGACAGTCCCGGAGGGCTGGTACCCAGCATGTTTCAGTGGTTTCTCTCCTCCAACACACTTGATCCAGTGGTTGAATCACCTGTGCAGCAGCACGTCAGGCTCTGCAGAAACCTGGCATTTACCTACTGACTGAAATCAGGTGTTGAAACAGGGTTAAAACTAAAACCTGCTGGATGCCAGCCCTCCAGGCCTGGAATAGTATGCCCCTGGACTGAAGAGAAACAGAACATGACAGCTTATACATTCTCATTTCCCTTCTGAACATGTGCTACGACTGGTGATGGTAGTGGTGAAGGACGTCGGAACATAAAAGGCGTGGGGTCAGGATTTTAAAAAAACAAACATTTTTATTACAAATAAATGACCAAACACATGAAATGACACTAGGTCAATAAATACCAGAACTAAAGGCGACCTCCTAAAGAGGGAAAAGGCAAGGACTTGAGAAAACACAAAAGCTGGAGCTCAGCTGGAGTTAATAAATTAACTCAAATGATAAACCAGTTAGTCAGAGTAGACTCTCAAACTCTACTACTTCCCTTTTGGCTAAAATGGAAAGTAAACCAAATAAGTCCAAACCAAATGAAGAGCGAGCACAGGGCTGTTAAGGTAATGGTAACAAAAACGGTAATAATTACTAAATCAAAGCTCCTTTGAGCATACGACCCAAAACGCAAAACTTAAGCTCCAATGAGCTAACACAACCAGCAGGTTAACTTAGCCTCTAAAAAGTTCCACTGAGCAAACACAAGAAGCAGGTTTAATTTGACCCATTTCCTCCCTCTACCGAGGACAATCCCCCAACAGTTCCACCGAACTCTTAACCAAATCCAAGCTCAATCAAACCACACTCGGATCAACTCGGTGTGTCTGGGTTTCAAGCACTCTCTTCTTCTTCTTCCTCCGGTTTATTGGCGGGTGGCAACCAACTCCTAGGTGCATTTCTGCCACCTTCGGTGTGGGTGTGAGTCACAATCGGGAGAAACTGGTCTAATTACATTCCAGTTATCAATTTACTAGACCGTAAAAATTCGATCAGTAATTTATAAACACCCAATCATCCGATTAATAAATTCCTTAAATTCAACTTTTCTGTGTCTTTCAACTTTAATCGTCTAGATAATATTTTCCTGTTCTGTGTATACTTGTCACAGTGACGCAATACATGTTCGACCGTTTCTCTATCCTTCGCACAACCACACATTCCTGTACTATGTTTACCCATCATAAAGAAAGTACCGTTTAAACCCATACGCCCCAATCTCGGTCTCGAAATTATCACTTGATTCCTATTACACATCGGAATGGCTTCCATTTTACCTACCCTGTCTCTAATTTTATACAGATGTCTTCCCGTCGCCTCTCTCGTCCAATATTCAAGCACTCTCAGGCCTAGTCCACAGGTAGCCGGGTTTTTTAAAAACGAATATCCGCCCCTCCAGAAACTTGCATCCACACCACCGCATTTTAAAAAGAAACTCTGTCCACACGTACCCGGATAAATACGTTGTTAAGGACATGCCAGACCTGTAGGCGGCAGTACTTTCCCCATTCTTAAACTCATCCTTCGTCTGTGGTCTTCCGCAAGGAGCAGTAATTCCGCTTGCAAAAACAAACAAGCAGAAAGCGCTTGGACGATTGATAAAGCGAGCGCAGCTCTGAGGGCATCCATGCTGTCGGCTAGTGTAAACACAGGTTGCACACGTGATGTCAGCAGTTTTTTGTCGCGGAAAGTGACGTTGCGGACCTTAAAACTCCGGTTTTGTCCGTCCACACGCAGACACCCAAAACGGAGAAAACGCAGATCTCCACTTTGGCCGGAGTTTTTAAAAAGATCTGTTTTCGTGTGAAAAAACTCCGTTTTCGTGTGGATGACAGGCCAAAACGTAGAAAAATATCTACGTTTTGGCAGATCCCCGGCTACGTGTGGACAGGGCCTCAAGGTATTCTCCACTCTTTCTGCACCCTGGTTCTTCTGGCCACGCCCTTTTTAAAACTCGGGAGCTGATTAGGGATTGAGCGAAGCTGGAAAGGCAGGAGGGAGGAGAGGCTGCTCCTCTCTGCAGGGAAGTGGAGCAGGAACAGGAGCATGTAGAAACTGGTGACCATCAACATGCCTAAAATTCAATTTGTTATCATTTTTGGCAACTATAGTAATTTCAGACTTTTATAATATATTTATTTTTATATTGTCAACATGTTCACTTACTTGGAACTTGTCTCATTTCCAAAATAAAAAGATAAAAAAATGAGAGAGTTCATCCGGGGATCGGGCTGCTACTTTAAAGTAATAAAACATCTCAGAAGGTGATGCAGTTTCATGTTTTTGAAGAGATTCCTGGCAGATATTTTGTCAGTTTTATTAATCTTTGCTGGTTCAGTGAGTGCTTCGTCTCTTCCCAAGGTGCTTTTCTTGCTGATTTTTGCCCGGCAATGGAAGTGACCAAGACAGCACCTGTTGAATGAATCACTGCTTTGTGCTTGTGTGCCCCACAGTGGAAGGCGAGAACAGCCAGCTTTGACAGCCAGGGCTCGTGCCCCTCACCCAGGCCCCCTGCTAGTCCCTGAGAGGATCCACCTGTGATCCAGCAGCCCAGAAGGGGACTTCCTCCCTCCTGATGATCCACTTCCTGTCTTTGTGGATAAGGAGAAACACAACTCTTTCTCTCTCTCTCTCTCTCTCTCTCTCTCTCTCTCTCTCTCTCTCTCTCTCTCTCTCTCTCTCTCTCTCTCTCTCTCTCTCTCTCTCTCTCTCTCTCTCTCTCTCTCTCTCTCTCTCTCTCTCTCTCTCTCTCTCTCTCTCTCTCTCTCCTTGTCTGCCTTCCTTCCTCAAGCCTAGTCCCAAAGCACTCCCAAGAACTGATCCAGGACTTTCCATCAGCCAGCTGTGTGAAGCTCTGTATTTTCTGGATTCAAACTTAAAGTAGACAATTTGAAACGTGGCTGTTTTGACGGTCTGAAAGTGGCTTTGTCCTGTAGGAGGCTGGCTGGAGATTCAGTCTGCAGACATCTGTTGCTGGATTGTCCAAACCAGGGCAAACTGATCGTCGGTGACTTGTTGGTCTCAAAGGACTTGGATCAAGAGCAGCTTAGAGCTGCAGACTCTTTGATGGAAATAACACAGTCGGATATCATTTCCTGAAAGCAGCAGATGTTTCACAAAGGGGAGCCGACGAGAGGGGGAGTCAAGAGCAAAGCCAGATATTTGAAACTCAGTGGATCTCTCAGTTTATTTTGCATTTTTGTGTTACCGTCCACCAATAGCAAGTCAAATCGGTCTGAAACTAGAAATTAAAATCAGCTTGGTTGTACTTTTGAATTTATCAGAATCAATTTATTGTCATTGAGCCACCGTCCAAGGAAATTTCCGTTTCAGCACAACCCGTCTAAGATTTGACACACAGCACGTTAAAAACACACAGACAGACTCGGGCTGAGCTGTGGGTATGCAGCCATCCTGGTGCTCCCATATGCAGATAAAAAAGGGTGACAAGAGGATGGTGGGGCATTCTGGACCTACTCCCCACAGGGGATAGGTCTGATATACAAAAAACAATGCCTCAGTTCAATAAAGCACATATTCAGACAATTACAACAGATATAAATCCATGAGAGGTGGGTGGGAGGGGTTAAGATCACTATTGCAACTGAGAGAGTTTGCAGCTATCCAGCACATTCTCCAACCCTAAATGTTCAGGGGTGTGAGTGAGAGTCGAAGTGTGCCGAGAACACCGAGTCCCTATTGGGTCTGTGACCTTTCTCCCAGATAAGTCACAAACTGATCAAGGAGCTCACAGACCCATGTCAAGAGTAAGGGAGAAAGGGCAGATTATCTGTCTCTGAGGGAGTTTTGAATTTTTCAGTCCTCAAGGCCAAACATAGGGGAGCCAAAATCAGATAACATTTTTTGTTTTGGAACAGGCCAGAGATAACATTTTAAAAATGTATTTAAAATAATTAATTGTCTGATCAACACTATGGTTTCAAACAGGGTGTTTAAACTGATATATCACATAGCTTATGCTGTAATAATTCTAAACGTTAACAATTGCTTAAAGTGGCACTGCACTGAATAAACATGTTTTAATTATTATTTCTGATTATAATCCGTCACTATGAGTTTAACGTGCAGGCTGAACATGAAAATAGTCTTCTACACCTATCTCCTGCATTAGCTTCTGATAGAAAACAGACGGCAAAACTCTAGGATTAGAAAACCTGACACATCTATGTCACTTAACATTCATGGACTCGCCCATCTTGACTCATGACGGGGAAGGCTGTTGTTGGTTTAGCCTCCATTTTCTGACAGAGGTGCGTCGGAGCTTTGTTTCCCCAGAGTAGAACTCACAAGGCATTCATTCCTACTAGAGACCACTGAAAATGTAATACAAATATGAGTAAAGTATCACTTTAAATATTCAACTGAATTTTAAAAAAGGTAATTAGGGAGTCAAAAAACATAGAAATACTCATTAAACATAAAAAATAAAAAGCATACAAAGACCTGAGAGCACTTTTACAATTGTCTTCTTTTAACTGTCTGATGAGTCTTTCAGAGCAGTGTTACCATTTCTTCCAACACAAATCAGAAACTTCTTCCAAAATACACATAGGAAGGGTATGTTTTTGCTTTGTTAATTCTCTGATTTCTGGTTTTAGTGGATGTAAATATCCTTCTGTACAGATGTTTTATTAAATGTAAAATGTTGCTTTTCTGAACTAAAAAAAGCCAAGAAGATATATTATGTAGACATCTAAGAAATGTTTAGCCTTGTTGTTGGTGAAGATAAAAAATAAGAAATTATATATTTCTCTTTTTACAGATGCATATTTCTTGAATTTTATTATCTCATTAAATAAAGAGCTCAGTGTAAATGAGCAGTATTCAAAAGATCTAAACTGTACAAATAAAACCTGATTACTGGTCCCAGCCAAGCCGGATAGAAATACCAGTGAGGACAATTCTTTATTCAGGTCAAAGAGTAGCAGCCATACTGTTTTTGATTAGCCTTGTGTTTCATGTTTATTGTGTTTACTCCTCTTGTGGTTATAAATTTATTTATTTATTTATTTATTTATTTATTTATTTATTTATTTATTTATTTAGTTGTGAAAGAAAATGTACATTATTACATCAAAAGGCACAAATCTTAAATCACTGTAGTGGGTCAAAACATGACCCTTAGTGTTTTGTTTACAGTGTATAAACATATTTGCATTGTGTTTATTTAGAATTTGCTATTAACATCATATGTATGAGCTACACATGTTGGATTTAACAGCTGGTAACAGAGTGTGTTCAATTTAGAGTGCTTACCTTCCAAAATGGACTTTCTGGATACTTTGCAGAACCATCCTTCATAAAATCAAAACAATTTCAACTATAAGGGCAATAAAGCCTGTTTCACTCTGATTGCAGTATAGAGGTGGTACGGATCCCCTACAGCCTCCAAACAGACTGGTATTCACACTAGTCATCTGACACAATGCATTTAAAAATATACATGTAAAAATCATTCATTCATTTTAAACTGATATCTCTGTCAAGCTGGCAATGAAAATGCAGGTTTTATTTTGAAATATCCCAGATGCACCCCACTATTCCATGTCTCATTTCCTGTCTGACTCATGTACTTCCTTTACCTTCACGACAATCCACATGAAGCATCTAGAAAACATAGATTCCATGCAGAAACTTACCTGAGTTTCGCTTTCGGATCCGTACCCTGCTGCAGCCGGTGTGAATGCTCGGTCTACACTCTGTGTTTTTTTTCTTTCTTTTTTTAATCAAAGTGGAAGGCATAAGGAACCGGACTGCATTCCTTTCACACATGGCGTGAAACAGGCGTCAAGGCCTAAAATGCTAATTTGCTTTTTCCTCTCTCCAAAACAAATGACATAGCCTTGGTTCACATCTGTTGACTGTGACCGTGTGTTTGCACCTTATCATTACGGCTGTAATGGTTACATAGCAGCGTCATGCAAAGTACCTGAATGAATATCTTGATCAAAGATTGACGTCCCATTTTAGTGGCGTTGTATCCTGGATTTTGGTTTTAAATAGAGATTACCGTAATTTCCGGACTATAGAGCGCACCTCAACATTAGCCGCACCGGGCTAAAAGCCGCAGATATCTACTGAATTGAAAATGTAGTTTAACTGAACTTAACTAAACTGATCAGTATCAAACAAAACAGAGAAGTTATTGATTAGTTTATTCATCATCCTCCTGCGCACGGAAACCACTGAAGTCCTCTTCTTCAGTGTCGGAGTTGAACAGCCTCAGAAGAGCTTCGTCACATACCTTTTCTGTGGCGATGTCCGTGTTGCTGTCATCATCCCGGGGTGAAGTTGGGAAAACAAGCAGCGCCGTTTTACTGTGAAAAAAATCCTCCTGGGCGCTTTCCGTAGCGCTCCTTTAACCTTTCCTTCATTAGACTTTCCAGCATCCATCCTTTCTGGTTGACTAAAGCCGCACCTCATTATAAGCCGCATGATTCAAGGCGTGGAAAAAATGAGCGGCTATAGTCCGGAAAACACGGTGCTCTGTTTTTATGAACCCGGCAAAAACATTAAACAGAAAGCAACAGCTTAATGTGATCCCAGGCCAAAGAACTGCCAGACAGCTATCATTTATCACATCTGAAAGGGTTTTCACAGATAAATGTTGCTCATTGAGAGTTTTTGTTCAAGACATCGAGACACTAACAGATGATTTCAGCAGATGCGCCCTGTCTGTTTTAGCCATTTCCATCATGGATAAGTTGATATCGTATCACTGAACGACCGATATGACCAATGAGAGGCAGTAGACGGGTGGACGGGTCAGCATCTACACAGCAGTGGCATTTGCCTAATTGGCGCTCTTAACAAGAATGAGTCAGTGCATTGATGCTTGTGTGTGACGTAATCTATCATAGTCGACACTCGGTCTGAAGTTCTCTCTAATTTCCACGTGGTTGTGAGTTCTTTGGACTGACGGCATTGTTAGACTTCTGTCTAATATATGTGTACAGTTTGAAATTAGTGGATGAACAATTGTGTTGTTTCTGTTGCTCCTTTACTTGTATTTTATGATGGTCATACTTCTCTGACAGTGTGGTGTGATTTCATAGTAGATGAACCTGTTAGACCAATTGCCTCAGTCAATGGACTGTTTCTGACCTTTTAGCTTCGCCTAATATTGTAATGTTCATTGATATGACTTTGTATTCCTTCCAGCTGTGATAATAGCACAGAATTGTACATTTTTTATTGAACGTTTTGTATTTGTAATAATAGAAAGGTTGGTTAAAACAAATGATTCTTTTAGGTTTGTGATCATTATTGACATTATGAAAACAGAGTGCGTAGTACACGTATGTAGCAAACAGTATTTTCACCACAAACTGTCATTCCTTCGTTTCTAAAAGTCTGAAAATGCACATCAGAAACTTGCTTGCTGTGTTTTCTCCCATGGAGCGTGATGTGGTCTGTGACATGTTTTCTTTTCATTGATTAAAAAACGTATGCAAAGTGGGCTCTGTGCTGCAGGTTTCTGGCAGAGACGCTCCATAAAGACAAGAGTCAGCGGCTTAACAGCCAGATTTCATCTCCATAAACTGGTCAGATTAAATTGGGAGGGGGGGACAAGGTGTGTAAACAATAGTCACATAATTCTATTGAATTCAATGGCATTTTTATGTCCACATTACTTAGTTTCTATTTGAACACAATCAAGCTGGTGTAGAGGATGGATGGATGGATGGATGGATGGATGGATGGATGGATGGATGGATGGATGGATGGATGGATGTGTCTTCCCATGTCATGTTCACTGTGGGAACTTTAAATCAAAGGAAACAACCTGCCTCAGAACCTTCTCAGAGGTGACCACAGGCCACATTCTGCCTTCCACACAGTGTGAGAGCACGACTCAGAGACAGTCTTCAGCAGATGAACTAGCGTTTTCACAGATTACTTCTCACAAAATTACCAACTGTTCTACGATACACACAAAAGATACCCATTATCACCTTGAGAGAAATGGCAATTAGCTGCGCGAGAAGAGGGTAGAAAACGGCAGGGTTTCGTAGTAAATTCATTATTATTCATGATGTCTAAAAGTCTTGTCTCTGATTGGCTAACAGCACTGCCACTCTACCAATAGTTTGCTTTGCAACGTTGATGTTTTGTCTCTACAAATAACTCTAATAAGGAGGTCTGCCGTGTGGTGGAGTTGTAATGTGAAGGTGTGAGCTGGGTCCTTGTAGAAAACTGTTCATTCTGTCTGTCAGTAACTAGATGAACACTTCACACATTCTGGTAATCTAAGATAAAATAGGTCAGAATACACAGCTGGGAGTACAACGGTGCTTTTGATGGCCCCACCCCAGTCTTTTTGCGACAATTTCTTGAAACAGGAGCGCCAGAGCTTTTCCCCACAGAGAACAACTTAAAAGGCATTTGTTTTTACTAGAGGCTACAACAGGCCGAAGCCATTTCCATCGTGGATAAGTTTATACCGTATCACTTAATGACTGATATGACCAATAAGAGGCAGTAGACGGGTGAACGGGTCAGCATCTACACAGCAAAGGCACTGTTCAAGCTGGCTATTGTGTGACCTTCATCACCCTCTCCTTGTTCTGCTCTCCCACCTATTCCACCTTCCTCAGGATCCACTGATTTCCCTCTTTCCTGTTCACTCTCTCTCTTTCTTTACATTTTTAATCAAAATCGTCTATTTTTGCTCATTTTAAATATATTTTTAATCATTTTCTAAATTCTTTTTTATATTTTTACATTTTTTGTTTTTGTGAAGTGCCTCGTGGTTTTTATCTTGAGAGGCGCTATAGAAATAATATCTTCTTCTTCTTCTTCTTCTTCTTCTTCTTCTTCTTCTTCTTCTTCTTCGTCTAATAGATGCTACTGAAGTCCCTGACAGTGGAAAATAAATAAAATGTAAGTATGTACTTGGTGTGTTTTTAAAGTACTGTGAGAAGGTGGGAATGTAAAATTTGTTACCAGAAAGCATTGCTGCATCAAAGAAATAATAAACAGAATAAAACTATTCCCTTCTTTTTTACCAAGTTTACTTTGTACTGTTAGCATTTTACGATTCATCCAGGTAATTTTAATCAGAATATTCTGGTTCTCCAACACCAGACATGTAAATGAAAAAGACTCTAGAGACAGCAAACCATCGTTACAGTACAGACCTCTAGTAAAAGTTACTTTTAATTTAAAAAAAAGAAGTTACTTCTCTTTCTAGCTCAGATGATCATTTGACATGTTTCTAACTCAACATTTAGAAAATTCAGACCATAAATCTTATACTTGTAAACTCAGACGTACTTTTCAGAGCCTAAAAAGACACACAGTTATCATACAGTCCAATACTGAACCCTACATATTACATGGGATGAAAGTGTTCCCTGCGGGGGGAAAACAAGCTTCCTGTACAAAAACGTGTTAGTGGTTGTTTATGTCAAGAAAACACCTTGTCATATAGTATGCCCCCAACATGGCTGATTCTCTCAGCGAAGACCAACATAAAACAAGTTTAAATATTTAATTCAAAATTTTTTCATGACATGAAGACTATTTTTTAAATGTTCATTCATTATTGCGTTTAAAGGTGTGATTGACTGAAAAAACATTTATTTAAATGTTTTAATTTTTTTTTTCAGATTGAAAACCGCTCATTCTGAGTTTTTCCACACAGGCTGAACATGAAAATAGTCTTCTACACCGATCTCCTGCATTGGCTTCTGATAGAAAGTAGATGATGAAATGCTAGGATTTCAAAATCCTCACAGATCTACGTCACACTGTCAATCGGCATTCATGGACTCATGAACAATAAGGAAGGCTGTTGTTGGTTTGGCGTCCGGTAATCAGCAGTGGACATCTCGGCTAGTTTAAGCTAACTGTTAGCATAGCAACTTCACCTTACAGCAGAATTCCTCCTGGCTTGTGTTATTTGTGGAGATAAACCATCCGTGTTGCTTTTAACCGGTTCGAAAGGTCCACATATCAGCAAATAAGACTCCAAGCTCTGTCATCTGAAGCTCAGCTGTGATGTCGCAGACAGTCTGCTGAGCCAGGGGTTTGTGGGCCTTTCTTTGCCCTGATCGCTGCCTGCAAGGCCTTCATTCATTCTACAGACCACTGCAAATGTGTTGATTAAATGAGTAATCAACTACTTTAATTTAACTGTTTGGATAAAGTACACACTGATATTTTAAATCCATGACACCACCTCTCTGCTGTCAAGCCAAAACTTTCCTCTTCATAGTGAACCTGTAAATAATTTGGTAGCCATCATCCCAGCCATAAAGCTGCTTCTCCTCAGGGTTGTATTTCAGACTAGCGTGAGCTCCGTACCTCCTGGGAAAGTACAGAAGAGGAGCCTCCTCACTGATCATCTTGTCATTGACGTCAAACACACACTGGACTCGAGATCGGCTGGCCAGACGGGTGTTGTAAACAACATAGACAGTCCCACAGACTACAAAGGCTGCTTCTGCGTTTTCCCGTGGGCAGCGGGTGTCCCAGATTTGTTCTATATCAAGTGTGATAGCGTCCATTTTGGCGAGGTTAATGTTTGGTTCACTGTCACTGGGGGAGTAGAGAAGCCACAAACCCTCATCGTCCGCTGCAAGGTCTGCGACCGTCTCTGGGTTGAGTTTGTAGACACTAGAGTGGCTCTCCATAGGGAACATGGCAGTTTCAGTGACAAAGCCACTCACTAGGTCGTATTTGACCACCTGTATGTCTGCACCAGCCTCTCCCTTCATGTAGTACAAGTAGCCATTATAAACAGCAGCTCCAGGGCCGCTCCACTTCAAGGGAAGCTTGATGGTTCTGCTGTTCATCGTGCCTTGGGATCTGGAAAAATCAGGTACGGAGTCGAACTGGTAGATGGTGTCTCCTGACGTGCCATTGAAGACATAAACCTTGGAGGACTTGGGGTCTCTTGTCCACATCCCCTTGGCACCGCCCACTCTCTTCAGGATCTTCACTGATCTGATGCCAGAGATGATTTCAATACAATCTGATGTCAGGAACAAGTACACAAAGCGGCACGTTAGTTTTAGGCTTCAATTCAAGGTAAGTAAGTCTACAGACACACATCCTCTACACCAGGATTAATCTTGTCCCATGGAATTTAGTGGGATTAGTGAAGTTGTCCTAAAGGTGGAGCATCTAATCCACCTAGCAGGTAGACGTTATCACCCCTATAATACTAGTCAGCACAGCAGCAGAGGCAAAATGCATCACTTTCAAGTCTGACAGTAAATGACTATTCAGAAACAAGTTAACAGTGTGAAACTGCAGAGGTGATATTTAAGTAAAGCAGTAAATTAATCAGAACTGTTGTCTTAATGCCAAAAACTGCTTTACAGATTTATGGGCTCGACACACGGGAGGCGACAAACGGCCGCGATCAGCGAAATTTGTCGCTGTCGCTTTTATTACCTGTCACACGGGAGGCGATCCGCGGCAGCGGCCAGCGACAAAGCCGTCTACGCGTTCTGTTCCATGGCGAAATCGAAACTTCCGTTGTTTTGATTGGCTGTGTCAGGTTGGAGGGAATTAAGGTTATTTAAGCGGTTCAGAGTTAATAAAGTGGTAGATATGATGTTTCACAAGGTGCTGCTAGAGTTATGTGAAATCTTACTTGTGATTTTACTATAAAACATAATAATAACCAACTTCTCCTCCATGTTTGCTCGGAAATGTGCGGAGCATCCTGTCCACTCATTGGTCAGTGAATGAAACCTCCGTTGATTGGTCCTCGTCCGAGCGACAGCGATGAAAAGTTGAAAATGTTTCAACTTTCTGGGATCGTGTCGCTGGGTCGTCCGTGCACGACACGTGCACGAGTGCAAAATTTCACACGCACGTTTTTCGTGTTTCGCTTGGTAGGAGAGAGACCCGCGATTATCGCTTTGTCGTGCATGTCTCATTGAAAATGAATGGAGGAGAGGCGATGTGGCCTCCCGTGTGTCGAGCCCGTTACTCTCACAGGTTGAGCATCACAGCAGCGTCATAACGCCCCACCTGGTGTAAAATCTTTATTAGATATGTGCAGAGATGGAAGGGACAGGAAGAGGTGTGTGTGTGTGTGTGTGTGTGTGTGTGTGTGTGTGTGTGTGTGTGTGTGTGTGTGTGTGTGTGTGTGTGTTTTGGGAGGGGGATGAGTGTGACGGATGACAAAAAACAATACTAAGGTACCGCAGCGACAAACATAAAACAAACAATGTGACTGAGAAAGCCCGAGCGTTTTCTTGTGAACACCTTGTGAGCGTTGCTGTGCATGATGCATGTTGCTATAGAGTGCTTTTAAAACAGATACCCTACACTAGCTGATAGAAGCACACCGCAACACCCTCCCACCCCCAATGCCCCACCCAATCCATCAATGTCTAAATGCCACTTAAAGTTGGAAGTGGCCACAGGCATCTGGGGTAAGGCTAACAGAACAGATCTCCCCCTTCCAGGTGTCGTTAGGTGCGCTCACCCCCAAGGCTCTAGGCTGCCACTGTTCTGCAGAGATAGGAAACTATCCCCACACCCATCCACACGTGCACACACACACCTGTACCCCAAAGCTGGGGAGACAAAGCCCTCTTAGGGAACCAGCTCCCCAGCTGACACCATTAGACAGCAATGTTCCCCTAAAGCCCTCCAGGCCATCTACCCAAGGCCCATTACAGCAGAATTACAGTGCACCACAGAGATTGAGGCCACCCACCCAACCCCACCCCAGCCAAATGTCTACTCCATCTACATCATCTACCTCCTACACAGCACACTTATCTCACCTGAAGAAGCCTGGAAGCCCTGTAAGGACCGTTTTTTTATTGATTTCTCTGATACTTTTAACAACATTCAACCTGGATTTCTGAGGGATTAACTGGAGATGGCTGGAGTGGACCACCACATGTCACAGTGAATACTAGACTACGTCACAGAACACCCACAGTTTGTAACTCCCTAAAGAGTTACCCCTAACTTGCATAACCCGATTTAAATGCGGACGTTGGGGTAGCGTCAGGACGTATGGACTACGTCAAGACGCAATATGCCTCATTTCCGGTTCTTCTTGTTCCGGTATCCGTGAAAACAACAACATGTTTCCCAGTTCGGAAGAGATAGCGACCGCGTTTGTTTGCGCTTTAGTTTCCTCGTCACTCCAAAAGTGTGTTGCTGTGCCGCGACTCGCCATGTTGCTCCCAACTTGTTGTTTACTTCCGGTGTTCTGGCGCATACAAGACGTCTCGCTACTCAAAAGACCAAGACTCCTTGCGAACAGAGCATGTGCAGAACACACGCTTTGATGGGGATATCCCGATATGCGTCTACACGACCAAACATTCGGGTTAGAAAAGGGTTACCCCAGGTGTAGTAACCGGGTTAAACCCGGTTATGAGCATATCTGGGTTTTTGGCGGTGTTTACACGGACCTGCGGAACCGGGTTATTGTGAATATTCGGGTTTTAAAAGGGTTACTGGCTGCATGTAAACGCACTCATAGACACTTCCATATCTCCACAGTATGTCATCATGACCTTTCATGGCCTTTCAACTCTTCATCCTCTTCAAAGCTACAAGGTTACACTTTCCTCACTCCGTCCTTACTAACCTCACTTCCTGACCCGCAATGGTCACCTCTTTTAATCTACTTTTTCTCCCATTGTCCATATTCATCACCTCTTCATATTGCACTTTCCATCTTCCCATCAGACTAGACACCTGTCACTTCATTTTCACTCATATCCTAAATCATCCTAACCTGCAGCACGTCCATTCCATCTCCATCCCTCTGTGTCAGGCTCCTCGCCGTGGTTCAACTTTGTGAGCAGTGAGGAGGGCTGTAGCGTGTGACAAGACCCAAACGCACAAATTTAGGCACTAGCCTCGAAGGGAACGAGGATGAGGCGATGTTCCAGAAATTAAAAGGAACGGGCTTACTGTAAGGATGTTGAAGATGGTGCTGAGGAGCGTGGGAGCTCTGGAATTGCCCGGCGTGAGTGACAAGCAGTGACGATGAAACGGGTTGAGCTGTGGTCGTCCAATTTGAGCTGGATCCTTGGCTACGACCAGGGAGCCACTGGGCAGTGTGAGCGTGGAGGCTTTGGGTACAATGGCGTGACAAATTGAGCGAATGCGCTGGAAACGTAAAAATAAAACACGTTACTGAGCGAGGTGCCATGAGGTCTGACACGAGCGGAAAACGCCTAGGCTACGGCCAGAGCTAAGGAGCTACCCTCGGAAGTAAGCCAGCTCCTTTTGCTTTCTGGAACGTCACCACCTCCTCGTTTCCCTTCGAGTCTCGTGCCGGCGTTTCTAGAATAACAGCGTGTTAGACATCAGTCATCGCTAGCACTTCCGCATTTGGGTCTTGTCACACGCTACAGCCCTCCTCACTGCTCACAAAGATTAGCCATGGTGAGGAGCATGACAGGATGACTGAGCACGGACTGTTGTGAAGGCCTTCCTGAAATAGGGTAAGTGTGATGACGTGGAGAGGCGGAAACCGGTGCGGGGAATACTGCAGTGGATGGCTGGGGGGCTGGAATCGTGACACTCTGCCTGTACACATCATTGTCTCATTCCTTACTGGAGGAGTCCTACTTATCCTTGAAAAATAGTCTTGTGCTTTATAAAAATAAGCTTCAACAAGCTAGAACTGCTTATTTCTCACCGTTAATTGAGGAGAATAAGAATAATCCTAAATTTCTTTTCAGTACAGTTGCTAAACTTACACAGAATCATAGCTCTGAGCCATCTATTCCCTTAGCCCTCAGCAGTAATGACTTCATGGGATTTTTTACAAGTAAAATTAATTCTATTAGAAACAAAATGTTTAGCATCCTCCCTAATGCGATTTCTTCTTCCTCAGTAAGTGAGGCAGCATCAGAGGTAACTGTAGAACCTCATCTGTGCTTGAACCGTTTTGATCCAGTTGAGCTTTCAGTTTTATCAAAAATATTAGCTTCATCTAAACCTTCAACTTGCATTTTGGATCCAATCCCAACCAAATTATTTAAAGATGCTTTTCATCATACGTTGCATCTCTTTGGGTACTCCTGTCTATTCTCCTCAGTCCTCTCATTGCTCTTCTCATCTAACTTCCTTCTCTGTGTCTGCTCCTGAGCCTTTTGTTGTCTCCTACTACTCCTTCTTTACACCTTCTAGATGACTCCCATTCTTCTCCCTAATCACATTAGCTGTCCAGTCATCTGGGATTCCCTCCTGGCCACCAGGAGCTTGTCTAAACCAATGAAGACCTCACAAGACTTTCTTTTTCATTCTGCTTTCATGCTCTTCTTCTTCCTCACCATCAGATTGATCCTACGGACATCATCTTATGCTGTCTCACTATACTCTCACCTACCAGAATTTTGCAGTCACATCTTCTTGAAATTACGCCTACATAAGGTGTAGTCTACCTGTGTGCTCCACTCTTGATGGAACAACTTAAACCCCCTCCCAAGTCTTTCGGCTTGCTACCGATCCACCTGATGTCCTGAGTACATAGTGCGTCCATCTTTCCTCTCTGCAAGATCACCAGTTCACTAGCTTTGTCTGTCATAGTTCCAACACTCAGAGTCCTTCTACTCAGCTCCACACTCTTGCCTGTCCTCTTCTTTCTCTGCCTACTAACACGCCTTCCTCTTCTCCTCAGGTGATCATCAACAGTCCAGTTTTCACAGATATCCAGCAGGCCAATAGCACAGGTAGTCGTCGTTAACCCGGGTCTCGACTGATCCAGTATCAAATCTGTCATTCACATGTTTTATTTGACACAACCCTCGACATTTATCCACACTTGGGACTGGTACACAGGAACACTGGCTTGTGAGCTCTTATGGCTGCATTTTTCTAAACGCCCTTTATTCTGTGATATCTAACTCCAACTCTCCAAACTAGGGCACGCTCAAAGTCAGGGCAGTTTTAGAAGCCGTCTCTAAAGAGAGGAGGAACCAGAGCGGCTCGCAGACAGCCTAAAGAGGCTGCTTGTAAAAGAGGCATCCTGAACTCCATAAATAAAAGATCCGCCTCCCCCACACTCACCCATCATCACCCTCTTTTGTCCAGAGGCCACATCAGGATTATCCTTGCAGATCGGATCTGGCTCTTTACTATGTAGTAATGTTTGTTCCAGTTCACTTCACTTCACAGACGTTCACAGTAGATCACTCTGCACAGAGTGAACATGAGCACAGAGAGTACAGTCGCTGACTCCAGGCCAGTTTCCTGTCCCCCCTAAGAGCTTCTCACTGGACTACCTTTGTATTTTATAAAGTGGATGTGCATTATAGTTCTTGCATTACGTCTTGTTGATTTTCCTATAAACTCAGCATGTATATGTTTTAAAATCCCTTTTCCTAATTTCTTTGTGTTAAACGTAAATGGTAGAACTTTAATGAGTCATTTAACTAAAATTATGATCTTTACCATAATGCATCACGAAATCTTGATGCAGTGTTTCGTAGGATGTGAAGATTATGATGACAAAGGCTGTGCTCAGATGGGAGAGCAGCAGAAATAAAGGACTGCAGTGACACGCAGTTTGTTCCCTGGTTACTTCAGGTATGGTTTTCCAGGACTGTAGCTCTATAAACAGGTTAACTTGGTGCCTGCAGGGACGTGTGTGTGTGTTTACATCTTATACGTTTAGACAGTTTTGAGCTTCTGCAATATGTAAATCTGGTTGATCAGAGAACTCCAGAGAATGTTTGGCTGATATATGAGCACACTTCTCAAAGCTCACCAGAGACTCGGGACTGCAGCTCCTCCCAGTCATCTGCTTCATCTCGCTCCTGCAGTCCCCAGGCCGCCCGCTCCACCACCTTCTCAGCTTTGCTCGCACAAGCCCGTGGAGAGTTCTGAGTCTCCACATAGTCCATCTCTCGCTCCAGCCGGTCCGCTTGAACAGACGCTGCTTCCATTTCTTTGAGCATCTTGCTGTGATGATTCCTTTGCACATTCACTGCTTCAGATGTCAACTTCTTGAAATTTAGCATCTCTGTGTGGTACTGACGGGACTGTTCATGCCAGAGCTGCATGCGGTCCTGTGAACAATGTAGGAGCAACGCAAGCATCAGCACAAGGTGTATCTGCTTTATGATTACTCACTCACTCACTCACTCACTCACTGCAGCCGAGGTTTGAACCTACAACCTTCCTGTTGCAAGGCAACAGTGTCACCAACATGTAGCCCTTTATGCTTCCCAAATATTAGCACCATCTGATTTATTTTATGAAAGTATTAAACTCTCGCCCGTCTCTTGATAGTTTGGACGTTTGGAGCCAATCCCCTCGGGTAAACGCATTATTAACTTTAGTCATCTCCTAAACACCAGCTCCCAGATGTATGTGTGGGCTGTGGCTGGCATTTAAAACATTCTTTCCTTACATAACATGTAAATGAAAGTGACTAAAAGACTCATCTTCAACATGCACAAAGATAAAGAATGAAATTTACTCATGATTCATGCATTTGTATAATTTAATAAACAGCTCAGTGCAGGACTGAAATCATGGAAACTGAATAAAGTACAAAGCAGTGATTAGTTTCAAAGTGTGTTTCAAGAAGCATGTTTTCTTAAATTGTTTTGGATTATTTTCTAATAAAGTTGAAGTAAATTTATTTTTTCATATCTTATGATTTTATAAAAAAAAATGTTGTTTTTTTTGTGTGAATTGTAGCAGTGTGCAGAAGGGGAGGGGCCAATGGACGCTCACTGCTGTGCACCACAGCAATTACTAATCAGCCTGAGGCTGATTATAAAAGACAACGTTGCAGGAGAAAAAGAGGTACAAGGCAGATGAGAGAAACCTGGTGATCTCCAAGTTTGGAGAAGAGCACGTCAGCTGTGCTGTTCCCTAAGACTGTCCAGAAAGTTTTGTTGAAGCAGAAAGTTATGTGTAAACACCGATTTAGCTGGTTCTCTGGCGCCCAACGTGGGGCGAATGCACACCACTCACTCAGCTTAAAGCCTCTTTCCGGAGTATTAAGCTTGGTTTATGCTGGACGCATTCAATTTCCGCGCTGTGATGCGGCTCGCGGATGGAACGCGCTTCACAACTCGCAGTGTTTATGGTTCATGCGGCTCGTCTCTGCGGTGAGCCAATATTCTCCCAAACTGTAGGGGGCAGCATGGAGCTCTACGGCATGCATCCAACACTACACCGTAGTAGAAGTAGAAATTACTGTTTACAACATGGCATTTCAGCATTTTTAACGGCGTTCTCGTCTTTTCCGACAGTGCGAGCTATTTCTCTCCCAGAATTATTAACAACATGTTGATCACGGTGATCTCTGAGAGCTGAATCATACAAATGTCTGTATTTACCAACCTCTGCCACACTAGTTCTTGCCAGTCCACCACGTTTTTCCGCGTCCGTCCGTCCGCGTGGTTAGAAATTTTCCTAGGTGCGCGTTGCGGAAATTCTGGGCCGTGCGGAGGCGCGGTGGAGGGGCGTGGTTGTTAAAATGACGCAAAATGACGCAACTTTTCCGTGCGGAGCCGTGCGGACCTCGCGGACGTGTCAAGCATAAACCAACCTTTACTCTTCTCTAATGGCACCATCTAGTGGCTGACAAGCATATCGCGCAAATAGTCTGTCGCTCTGCTTTTTTAAGATGGTAACTTCACGTTTCTTGTTTATTGATGTGCTTCTGTAGCTGACAAACAGCTAAAATGCGCTGTTTTACAAGTATTATTCTCATGTCATGCTGTCTTTTCATATATTTATGTTTTAGAAACTTGTTTGTGAAAAGTTCATCAACTCTGCATCAGCCGAGGTGCTCCTTAAGTTTGAAGCATGTAAGCGGTAGTCTAACGCTATTGGTTAGTTCTGGTCGGCGCTCAGTTTCCCGTTGCACGGAGCTCTGCGGGGCAGGGGGCGTGCTTAGCAAAAATAAATAAATAAAACAGTCGTATTGCCTGCATTATATCACAGAACATGATATAATAATCACTTTTACGGACTTCTGAAAATCATACATAATTTCTGAAAAGGGAAAACTCCAGAAAGCTACTTTAAGGCCTCATCCTTGTTCTGGACCAGACAGTGTCGTGGACTGTTCACACATGACATTTCGCCCCATCCCCATTGGCAATCCTGGGAAGGATTGGTCTGGATGGAGAGCCAAGCCGAGCGGCATACGGAGTTTCTACAGCGGCTGAATTAATTTACTCTGAGATCAATAAACAGATTTGCTTCCGCATTGATGTTGTTCAAAGTCTATTTGTATTTTTTTCTCCTGGTCTTTACATTTTAGCTCCACTGACCCCTTTTACTCGTTAAAAAGACATTTTCCCTTAAAAATCCAAACATTTATTGGCCAGTGTCCCTTTGACAATATTTTTTATTGTGTCTTTTTGAACAATGCCAAATAATTAGCAGGTCAAACTGGGCCAACTGCAGCTGGACGAGATGATTCCATGCAGCAGGTCATTTGAGGAAAGTCTTAATCCGGTTGTTGAGTTAGACCTCAGGAATTCCTCTTTAGGACATCTAAAAGCCATTTCCTGTTTGCTGTGTAGAGGCAGAAGATATATGCAGTGTATCTCTCAGCATGCAGTCTTACTGCTCAGCAGAGGTGTGACCAAGGCCCTGTCCACACGTAGCCGGGGATCTGCCAAAACGTAGATATTTTTCAACGTTTTGTCCTGTCATCCACACGAAAACGGAGTTTTTTCACACAAAAACGGATTTTTTTAAAAACTCCGGCCAAAGTGAAGATCTGCGTTTTCTCCGTTTTGGGTGTCTGCGTGTGGACGGACTAAACCGGAGGTTTAAGGTCCGCATCGTCACTTTCCGCGACAAAAAAATGCTGACATCACGTGTGCGACCTGTGTTTACACTAGCCGACAGCATGGATGCCCTCAGAGCTGCGCTTGCTTTATCAATTGTCCAAGCGCTTTTTGCTTGTTTGTTTTTGCAAGCGGAATTACTGCTGCTTGCGGAAGACCACAGACGAAGGAGGAAGTTAAGAACAGGTGAAGTACTGCCGCCTACAGGTCTGGCATGTCCTTAACAACGTATTTATCCGGGTACGTGTGGACAGAGTTTTGTTTTTAAAACGAGGTGGTGTGGATGAGAGTTTTTGGAGGGGCGGATATTCGTTTAAAAAAAAACGGCTACGTATGGACTAGGCCTAAGTCACTGCTTTGCAAGTCACACATAAGTCACAAGTCTTCCCAGTCAAGTCTTGAGTCAAGTCCAAGTCTAAGACAACCAAGTCCAAGTCCAGTCCAAAGTCAATGATGTGGAAGTCCTAGTCAAGTCCAAGTCTTTAACTTTGAATTTTAAAGTCATAATCAAGTCATCTGTCCAATTTCAATTTAATGACAATGATAATAAATAAATTCCAGAATAAAAGCTTCTTAAAGCTTCATTTATTTGCTGAAACAAGCAGAAAGAGCAACTGAACCTGATGACAAACAAAGAGCTGCTGCATTCAACAGAACAAGATCAAACCCAGAACGAAGGATGATTTATGATGTCTGTCCATGTCGCGCCACTTTTGTGCTAAAATATCAAATATGCTCAAGTCATCATCAAGTCAACAGATGCAAGTCCATTCAAGTCAAAGGTCATTGGCCTTCAAGTCCAAGTCAAGTTGTAAGTCTTTATAGATTTTATCAAGTCAAGTCAGAAGTCATTAAAATGTTGACTTGAGTCTGACTCAAGTCCAAGTCATGTGACTCGAGTCCACACCTCTGCTGCTCAGGGTTTGTTGAGGACCACTTCACTGACTTCTCATCATGTTTCCTAGAATATTTCTCAGAGGGCAAATGAAATACTGTAAGAAGCAATATTCCTGTTTCAATCAGTCAAAGTGTCATCGCCAGCTCAAACAAAGCACAGCTCTGTGTGAGTCAGATGTAATAACTGCTGCCGCGGGCACTTTCTGCTCTGCCTCAGGTTTCGTTTCACACGTCGCCTGAGGTCAGATGGAAATGAGAGTTGGGTGAAAGATCATGGATGAATTCCCATCTATGATTGGATGCAGAATTTGGTCAAAAATGTGACTGGATCAGAGCTTAAAGCTCAGTCCTTTCTTTGAGTTTGAGCTGATAGCTGAGAGCCATTCCCATATCCCAGAGGGCACACGCACTTGTGTCATCATTCAACATTTCCCCAAAACATAACAAGACTAAACAAAAATATCTTACTTTGAATCTCTGGTTGGAAAGATGTCAGGAAATATGCGGTCTATGTCTGGATATCCATGATTCATAATTCAGTTTGCTGTTCCTGAAACCCAAAACACTGGCTCCTGCCCCCGGAGGCTTGCCCCTGCTACAAGAACTGATGGGTTCTGAGATTGGCTGACATATAATCCGCTTTGCCTTTCATATATCACACTCACCACATGCCACGTCTCCTGTCTCAGGAACTTTCCTCACCGTTTTTCCTGATGCTCACACAGACTGTCAGTAATCTCATTCAGTCCTGCTGTCTTTGTTGCAACACAAATGGATTCCACTTCGGTATTAGGCTGTCGCCATGTTTGATCTAACTCCAGCAAAGGTCGGCTGTACTCATTAGAGAGGTGCCACTGGCCTAAACACTGGTGATGTTGTAGTGCTGCAGGACACAGGCTCCTTGTTGTATGTAAAAGAAGAGCCTTGCATGCATGGACTGCCCCCCCCATACACACACACACACCCGCAAGGCCCACTGAGGAGCTGACAGACTTGGCAGATATTGCATTAATTAGTTTGTGTGTGTCAGGTCATTAAATCCAAATTTAAAAAAGAAAAGGCGGTTATCAGCTGGTGCCTCATAGTTTAATGACTACAACGACTCTAAAAGTAAGTCATTTGGGGGGGGGGGGGTCTTACCTCAATAGCCAACAATCTGTTCTCCAGGTAATCCATCAGTTCCTGGTAGTAATTCTGGGCCCCAATTAAAGTCCAGGAAGTGAAAATGAGGAGGACAAACAGCGGCTTCATTGTGAGACGATCAATGAAACATCTGAGTTTTCTTTGTCTTTCCAGGTCTTGGAGGATTCCTCGGGTCTCTTCTCTGACACGTTTCACTGAGCCGCTCGTGGTGCGCCCCCCAGCACCAGGATTCAGTGGGTGGTAATAAACGGGCTGTGTAAAAAGGTGAAACGATAGAGTATGAGGCCGCTGTGAGGGTTTCCCATTCTTTGGCTACTCTCGCTTCGCAGGAATGTTTTTACACACTCTCAGGGAGGAGCTCTGTGCCTCTCCCTCCTCTGTTCTCGGAAAGGGACCCTACTCCACTCACTGTGTGTGTTTGTTGGACTCACCGTCTCAGGTATATGAGCTGGCCTTATCTCAAAGAAAACGGTGTGATTCCTGTTTCACATTTCCGACTCTATGATGTTGTTTGTGTCACATGTTATCAGATCCCAAACTAAATATATAAACACAAACCGGGTCAATTTGACCCCCTTCAGTGTTTGTTGTTGAAGGAAATCCAGTTACCTTTGTGTCTTTTCTATAGATTTCATGACATGTTCTAACTTAATAGAGCTCCGGACCCCACGTGACTCTCAGTAAGTGGACGCCATTATGGCATGCAAAAAAGGTAAACAAACACGGATGTAACCATGAACATGAACGGGATCCGCTTGGATTTTACTTCGTCGGAGTTTACTTCACACTTTAAAACAGAAGAAATCGTTTTATATAGTCAGAAATTAAATAGACTAAACATCTCCGACCCTTACCGTGCCCCTGGGATACTTTTTAAAAACGCCAGAAGCTGTCGGAGCGGACTTCTTACCGGCACAACACCGGACCTGGCCGGGGGAACCCCTTGGGATTCCCCCGGCCGGAGGAGCTGGGGAGAAGGTCTGGGACTCTCGACTCTACTGCCCGCTCCGACGCCAGAAGCTGTCGGAGCGGGCTTCTTACCGGCACAACACCAGACCTGACCGGGGAACCACTTGGGATTTACCCGGAGGAGCTGGCTCCGGCGGCTGGGGAGAGGGAAGTCACGCTACTGCCCCTGCAACCCGACTCCGGATACGCGGATGAAAATGGATGGATGGACGGACAAATAACAGATTTACACGTAAGTAGTCTCGGTGAGACAGATGATAGCAATCCAAAGTGCTTTTTATGTGTGATCTGACAATTGATCAACCATTGCTTAAAAAGTAAATACAGCTTAGCCGGTTAATCGCTGTGATCATAAAACACGGAAACGGCAGCACGCAGAACTCACGAGGCAACGTTTTACGTGATGTTTACTTGTTGCTATGAGTAATAAGACAGAAAAAGCCCCGCCAAAATAAGTTTAGGAAGCCCACTAAGAATCGTAATAAAAGCATTTAAAATAAATACCACACACAGTTGAGGAAACGTTGGTTTAAGTACCTGATATGAAGCGGTCGCTGCATAAGCGAAAACCTTTACTCTCGGGATCCCACAGCTTCATTTTCGCCTGGTCACTAGCTCGTTTTATCACAATGATCCAACATTTGCGGCGCTCCGGATCTTGGGGAATCCTGTAGATGACTCATTCCTTATGTCGTCCGCGTCTGTTCTGCATCCTGGGGCACAACAGGAATCTACCATATTTCCCGTTTGATTGAGTTTTCTGACAATAACAAATAGTCCAGCTGCCGGCTTCTGCCTGCCAATATGGCGCCGTTTCGATTTGAACTGTTGCATGCCGGGAGAAGTGACGTCAACTCCCGGAGCTCTATAGGGACAACTGATGAAACGGAACTTTTTTTGCCAGGAAAAATTGCTGTACACATTTTGTCCGTGTGTGTGTGTGTGTAGCTTTCTGAAACGGTGTGACTGCGGTTGATGGGTGATGGTGCCTGATGGTGGTGCAAGTTTTATTGTCAAAGGCTTTTAATGTGTTTTATAACTAAAGTACCTGACACAAACACATGGACAGCAATTGTTTGTACATCTATTGATGGAGGCTTGGTGTCGGGACTGTAGCCTCCTGCGTCTCTGGTGTCTCCCTCGTTAGAGCTAATTGAACTCACCTGCCCCTCGTTACCTTACCCACCTGTTTCCCTGATTACTCTCATGCATTTAAACCATCTGGTTGTCCCGGGGTGTTTCTCAGTGCCAAGGAACCTTGCCTTGATGTCTTGGCCCCGCCCCGGTTGCCTAGGAGATACGTCATCGAGAGCCGCCAAGACGTGTTCCAGTGTTCATGTTCTACCGAGGCGTGTGTTCTCCGTTTGTTAGCCGTTTAGCTAGCTGAGCGAGGACACACGGGAGGTGTCTTGTAGCCTAGCCTTGGTCAAAAATTACCCAGAATACAGCGCTGTATTTTCAAAAGGACGGCGGATCAGAAGCCGGCAGCTACTTCAGGTACAATTTTCAAGTTTAATAGTAAGTCAGCTAATTTAAAATGTTTTTTTAGATCCAAAGAAGTTATCTATGGTTGGTTAGTAGCTTAGTAGTTGCAGCTTTGGTGGCTAGCGGGTAGTAACTCACTTATTATTTAATTTAATAAACATATACACAATTTAAAAAGTAAAAGCCTCATTATATATTTATATTGAAACTAATACGTATAAAATATAACGTTGTCTCTCGTGTTACGTGACGTTACGTGACCCCGGTGGAAGTAGTGGTCACGTGATGCAAGTCTGTTCCATTTAACCGTTTTCTTTGACCAAGGAAGGACCGTGTCCTCGTAAGACATCGCCTCGCAAGGCCAGGCGCCTTGACACTGCGGAACACCCCTGGTCTTTGTCAAACCTCGTCTTGTCTTGTCATGTCATCCTACCTGCCATTATTAAAAAAAACAGTTCAATTCAATTCAAGTTTATTTATAAAGCGCCAAATCACGACAAGAGTCGTCTCAATGCACTTCACATAATAAACATTCCAATTCACAGTACGGGGGCTAGGACCCCGACAAAAACTTGGATCGAGGGCTGACTTTCAATGGATCGCAGCGAGGTAGTTGCTCTGCCACGCACGAAACCCTGACCCAGAATCAGGTCGTCTGCAAGTCATTTAGCACCACGTTCTCCACAAACGTGCAGTGCGCAATTGGAGAGGGGCAGCCATCATTCGGCCGCACCCCAGCCCGGTCACGAACGGCTCTCCGCACTGGCCTGAGGGCCAGCTATCCGGGACCAACCGAAGATTCGCTGCGCTACGGTATCATTCACAGTTCATTAAGCCAATCAGAAATAATGTTTCCTATATAAGGAACCCAGCAAATTGCATCAAGTCACTGACTAGTGTCAGTGACTATACAGCAATCCTCATAGTAAGCAAGCATAAAGCGACAGTGGAGAGGAAAACTCCCTTTTAACAGGAAGAAACCTCCAGAGAATCCTGACTCAGTATAAGCAGCCATCCTCCACGACTTACTGGGGATGGAGAAGACAGAACACACACACACACACACACACACACACACACACACACACACACACACACAAGTAAGGTGTCTATAGTTATATTGTGATTTCTTAGTAAATATTCTATTTGGTGAGAGATAAACTTTATTGTATTTATCCTAGTGAATCTATAATTAAACGGATAAACTAGTAGTAGCACATTCAATGTCAAGGAAAGTAAAAAGTTATTATCAGGAGAGAGAGAATGTTTAAGTGGTTAGCAGCAGTGTGCTAGTTGATGGCCCCCTCCATGAGGCCACCACAGCTCAGCAGAACATCATTGTAGCTTCTTCTGGGGAGAAAAATACTTAGAGAGAAAATAAAGTTAGCAGCTGAAATAGCAGGAAATAATACAGTTAAAGAGCAGATTGTAGAAGAAAGTAGTAGAGTGTGAAAAGTGGTCAGTGTATCCTCCAGCAGTCTAAGCCTATAGCAGCATAACTACAGAGATAACTCTGGATAATCTATCCTATTTAGATGGAGGCATGTTGGAGGCAGGGCAAGGGAGAGCCGTCTTTACCGACTGTACGCTCCACCTCCCTCTACTCCCCCACCTGTCCAGATTTAGGCTAACATCAGATTTTAACTATAGGCCCTATCAAATAAACATGTTTTAAGCCTATTCTTAAAAGTAGTTCTGTTTTTACCGGTAACTTACTTCCTGTGACTGCTCACACCTACATTTGGGTCCAAACAACTCCACCTCATGGCACTTGGGTCAATAGTTGATGAGAATAGCATGGTCACACATAGATATGCTTTACTAGCTAAAACAGTTTGAGGTCAAATTGACCCTAGATGTATATAAACTGTGTACCGCTCACTGGAAATAAACAGTTTATGCTTAATGTGTTGTCCACATCAAAACAGGAAAAGTTATGAAATATGAAGTCAGAAGAAGAAAGTTAACGAGTATTTTTCGAACTATAATCATTGAAAGGGGTCAAATTGACCCAGAGGACGTTAGGTGGGTACAGTGGTGAGGATTGACTACATATTTGTTAAGTGATCAATAAGATTGATAATTCATATTTATATGGATTATCAATCTTATTGGTTTTTGAATGTTTGATCAGAAGACTCTAGATTCTTTGACTATTCAGGGAACACACACTTCCTATTAATTCAGACAGTCACGTATGTAGTTTTATAAAGTAATTCTACTTTTCTAAACTAAGTGATTATACAGGAAAGATATGAAGGCGACGATGGAAAGTAAGCTAGATGCTTACAGCAAAACCTTACCTGAGCGATCGTGTGATGTCTGGGTTGTGAAATCAGTTTGGCTGTATGGTTTAATAAGCTAGAGATTATTCATAAAACCGTCTGACACCATCGTGCAGCAGAGTCTACATTACCCTTGTGTGGCGGTAGCTCCTGAGCGGTCCGGGGAGGAGGCAACCCGAACGGTGACTTCACCAGATGTCGTGGCTACAGGAATCTCAAAGAGCCGTAGTTCACTTTGAATTCAGATCACCGGCCAGAAGATACTGCCAGGGTCTGCAATTTAGACGTTCAACATCTGAGGTGTTGAGCGTTGCAGGGAGGCTTTGACCTTGGGGTCAAAAGAGAGGATGGTTCCAAGTGTTTGCTCACCAGTCGGCCGAACCAGGAGGCAGCTGGAAAACTGAGGAATCAGGAAAGGAATCAGGAAATGTGTCTTTGGTACGCTACATGCGCAAAAGCTGTTACAGTGAATCTACAGAACATTCAGCCCTCCCCTTGGGTGTCTTTTTCTGGGTCTGACTCCACTGGAACCGGAAACCCTCGTTTTAAGAGGGACTAAACACCAGTCGCTGTTTTCTAAACAACCCTAACCCTTTCATAAATCAATTCAATTCAATTCAATTTTATTTATCTAGCGCCAAATCACGACAAGAGTCGTCTCAAGGCACTTCACATAATAAACATTCCAATTCACAGTTCATTAAGCCAACCAGAAATAATGTTTCCTATATAAGGAACCCAGCAAATTGCATCAAGTCACTGACTAGTGTCAGTGACTATACAGCAATCCTCATACCAATCAAGCATGCAGTGACAGTGGAGAGGAAAACTCCCTTTTAACAGGAAGAAACCTCCAGAGGATCCTG